ATGAATGCAGTTTACATATGAAAATTTTTGGACTGCACTTTTCATTTTGGGAAGGTTTTAGTGATGAATTCCACTGCTTTAGAATATACAGGGCAATTCAGATTTTCTTATCATGTGAGTTTTTTCAAAGAATTTGTCCCTTTCCTCTCTGTTATCAAATTTGTTTGCATAGTTTTTGTTTCTTTTTTCTTTTCTTTTTTTTTTTTTTTTTTAATTTGACAGGCAGAGTTAGTGAGAGAGAGAGAGAGAGAGAGAGAGGGGTCTTCCTTTTTCCATTGGTTCACCCCCAAGTGGCCGCTACGGCAGGCGTGTTGTGGCCGGTCGCGGCCAGCGCATTGCACCGATCTGAAGCCAGAAGCCAGGTGCTTCTTCCTGGTCTCCCATGTGGGTGCAGGGTCCAAGCATTTGGGCCATCCTCCACTGCCTTCACAGGCCACAGCAGAGAGCTGGACTGGAAGAGGAACAACTGGGACAGAATCTGGCGCCCCAACTGGGACTAGAACCCGGGGTGCCGGCACCGCAGGTGGTGGATTAGCCTAGTGAGCTGTGGCGCCAGCTGCATAGTTTTTTATATTATACTTTTTTAAAGATATATATTTTTAAGGAGTTTTAAAGATTTTATTTATTTATTTACTTGAGAGGTAGAGTTATAGACAGAGGGAGAGACAGAGAAAGATAATTCTTCCACCTGCTGGTTCACTCCCCAGATGGCCAAAACAGCCAGAGCTGTGCTGATGCAAAGCCTGGAGCCAGGAGCTTTTTCCAGGTCTCCCAGTGGGTGCAGGGGCCCAAGGACATGGGCCATCTTCTACTGCTTTCCCAGGCCATAGCAGAGAGCTAGATTGGAAGTAGAGCAGCCAGGACTTGAACTGGCTCCCATATGGGATGCTGGTACTGTAGGTGGAGGCTTTACCTGCTACGCCACAGCGCCATCCCCTATTCTTATTTATTTTGAAACTCAGAGCTAGAGAGAGAGGGAGATCAATCTTTATCTGCTGGTTACTCCCCAGATGGCTGTAACAGCCAGCACTGGCCAGGCTGAAGCCAGGAGCTTCATCTGGGTCTCCCATGTGGTGGCGGAGGACCAAATACTTGGACCAATCTTCCACTTCTTTCCCAGGCACATTAGCAGGGAGTTGGATCAAAAATGGAGCAGCCCAAACTTGAATAGGCGCTTGTATGGCATGATGCCAGCGTCAGACAGAGTCTTAACCTACTATGCCACAATGCTAATAAGCCCTGTATTATTATCCACTGTAGGATGTCCAGTGATATCCTTTCTGTAATTCCAAGTATTGATAATTTGTCTTCTTTCTTTTATATTGTCCACATAGCTATAGATACATCAATTTTGTTGATCTTTTTGATGTAGCTTTTGACTTTGGCTAACTTTATTTGTTTTCTATTTCATTAAATTCTTTCCTAATATTTATTCCGACTTTAGGTTTACTTTTCTTTTTCTAGCTTTTTTTTTTTTTCAAGGTTTATTTACCTGAAAGGCAGAGTTGCAGAGAAAGAGGAAGGAGAGAGATTGATCTTCTGCTGGTTCTCTCCCCAAATGGCCGCAGCAGATGGAGCTGGGCTGGTCCGAGGCCAGGAGCTTCTTCCTGGTCTCCTATGTGGGTCCAGGAATCCAAGTACTTGGGCCGTCTTCTGTTGCTTTCTCAAGCACATTAGCAGGGAGTTGAATGGGAAATGGAGCACCAGGACAGGAATTGGTGCCATATGGGATGCCAGTGGCACAGGCAACGGCTTTACCCATTACAGCGCAACACCAGTCCCCTTTTTCTAGTTTTTTAAGGAGAAGATTTACATCATTGATTTTAGACCTGCCTTGCTAATAAGAGCATTTCAGAGCTATAAATTTCCTTGTAAAAATTTCTTTGGCTGCATCTAAAAATTTTGACTTTTAAAAAAATTATTTATTTGAAAGGTACAGTTGAAGAAAGGCAGAGGGGAGAAGGAGAGAGACAGAGAAATATAGATCGATCTTCCATCTACTGGTTCACTCCCCAAATGGCTGCAATGACCAGGGCTGGGCCAGGCCAAAGGCAGGAACCTAGAACTCTATCTAGGTCTCCATGTGGGAGGCAGGGGCCCAGGTACTTGGGCTATGTTCCATTGCTTTTCCATATATCAGCAAGAAGCCAGATTGGATCAGAGGTGGAGCAGCCAGGACTTGAACCAGCTGTCATAGGGATGTTCGTGTCTCAGATGACAGCTTAACTAACTGCCACAACTGTGGCTCCAAATGTTGACTTTTTAAAATTTTTTATCAGTTAACCCTGCTTTCTAATTTCTCTCTTGATTTCTTTCATCTGTGATTTACTTAAAAATGTTTTAATTTTTGAATAGCTAGTATATATACTATATATAGTATATATAATATATAGTATATATAATATATAGTATATATAATATATATTATATGTATTATATATAATATCTTTTATCTGTGAATTACTTAAAAATATGTTTTAATTTTTGAATAGCTAGTATATATATATACTATATCTATAGTATGTATATATATAGTATATATATCTCTAGTATTAAACCAAAAAATAATGTTTATAAAATTCCATGAGTACTTTATATAGTTTAATTTTTTTTTTTAAGATTTATTTTATTTATTTGAAAAAGTTACAGAGAGAGGTCTTCCATCCACTGGTTCACTCTCCAAGTGGCAGCAGCAGCTGAAGCTGGGTGATCTGAAGCCAGGAGCCAGAAGCCTTCTCTGGGTACAGGGGCCCATGAGCTTGGGCCATCCCCTAATGCTTTCTCAGGTGCATTAGCAGGGAACTGGATTGGAAGTGGAGCAGCTGGGACTCAAACCAGCGCCCATATGGGATGGCTGCACTGCAGGCCAGGTCTTTAACCTACTGTGCCACAGTGCAGGCCCCAGTTTCAGTATTCTTAACCCCAAAAATTCAAAGTCTGAAATACTCTGATTTCAAAAACTTTTTGAGCTCAGATATGTTTCTTTGGTCAAAAGTGAGTTAAAAATATCAGATTTCAGAATTTTGGATTAGGGATGCTCAGCCAGTAAAGCCTATGCAGATATTCTAAAATAGGAAAAACTCCAAAAGTTGAAACACTTCTGTTTCCAATCATTTCAGATAAGCAATACTTGGTATTGTATTTATGTGGTATGTGCTTCAAAATGTGTGTGTGTGTGTGTGTGTGTGTGTGTGTGTGTGGCAGCAGTTTACTTACTTACTATTACTTTGCTTACTATTTACTGAATTGGCTGGGCCCATCTGGGTAGAACCTATCTAGGTAGTGCCCTTCGGGGATCTCTTGTGCAGTTGTAGTCTGGCAGCAGCAGGGCCAGAGCCGTCTGAAGACTTGCTTGGACTTCATGGTTGAGGTAGCTGTTCACTCCTCTGCTAGATGGCTGGGATAGGTAGGTGGATGTGGGCTGATCGCCCCTTTCCACACTGCTTCTCCATGGGACTGGCTGCGTTTATACAACATGGCAGTCTCGAGGCAGTTAGACTTCTTTCCTGTGGTGCATCTGACTTCTCCCAGAGTGACCATTCCAAGACCGAATCTTTGCAAGTAGATAATTTATCTGGTCTGCTGTTTCAAACTAAGAAACTAAGAACCGAGATAAATATTGTCACTGTAGAAACTGCATAGTAAGTAACAGTAAAGTATCCTCTAGGTTAATTTTGTTTAAATTGAAGTGAAATTAGCTGGTTAGCCATTATTAGCCATTCTAATATATAGAATTTGGTGGCATTTAATATATTCACGATGTTGTGCAACCACATTTCCTCATCCATATCTATTAAGTAGTCATTCCCTATTTCACCCTCTCCTGGCAAACACCAGTCTTAATTTCTGTTTTTCTGGATTTATCTATTCTACATCTTTCATATAAATAGGGTCATACAGTGTTTGACTTGTTACTGGCTTTTTCCAGTTGGCATATTTTTGAGGCTTGTTCAGATTATAACATCTATTAGTACCTCATTCCTTTCCCCATTGAATGGTGTTAATACCCTATTGAAAATCAGTTGGCCATGGGTATATGGATTTATTTCTGGGCTTTCAATTCTCTTCACTTGGTCTATGTCTATCATGGCAATACCATGTAAGTTGGTATTTTTTTCTCCTATACTAATTTGTTGGCTGAAGAAACTGGGTTGTTCTTTTATTTCCCACAGCCTTTGCTGATTGAGTCCTGTGGTGTAGTTTAATATTGGCCTCTGTGTTCTGTGTTAGCTATAAATTGGTAGTTGGATGTAGGGGAAATCTAGTAACTTGATCAGATTTAGATAAAAGTATTTTTATATGTTCACTTCATAGATGATGTGTCTTCTCTCAGAAGGTACATCATATCTCTTTCCATTATGTTAGCTTAATTTATTCTGTTTACTTCAGTTTTAATAGTTCAAAGGGTTTTAGAGAGACAGACCTTAAGATTTGAACTCTCGAATCTGCGTTCACGTTTTAATTCTTTCCTTGCTAGTTCTGTAATCTTGGTGAGTCACTTCTTTCTCAGTGCTACATTCCTCATCTGGGAAATGCGGGCAGTGATGCCTTCTCACAGGGTGTTGTGAAGATTAAATGAGATTTTGCATAGAGAAGAGCTTGCACAGAAACTAGCATACAGGAAGTGATCAGTAATCATTAGTTGTTATTTTGTGGATTATTCTGAAGCAGTCTGAAAGATTACCTTGATTGGTAAGTGAGGAAATTGAAATTTGGGTATCTAACCTGACTGGGTTTATGTTAGGGAGAAAGTAAATTGTTCACCTGAGGTGAGTAGCTCCCCTTTGTCCCTGTCTCAGTGAATAGTTACTCATTATAAACCTAATTTCAAAAGTGATTCTCGCTCATTCTTCAAATTGGTGTGAATTCATGTTAACTCGCTCCACCTAATGTTGGGAAGAGGAACACACTGTACCATAGTGCAGACTTGATCTTAAGGTTCACTGAGGAGCACTGTGCTTCTTCATAGGGAGCTTACTAGTGATGTTTGTATTTTACAGTGTAATGTTCAAGCCCAGAGATGCCTTATGTGGATCGTCAGAATCGCATCTGTGGTTTTCTCGACATTGAAGAAAATGAAAACAGTGGGAAATTTCTTCGAAGGTACTTCATACTGGATACCAGAGAAGATAGCTTTGTATGGTACATGGATAATCCACAGGTTTGTAAACTCTGAAGGTTACCTTTCAAGAGCATATGAGAGTTTTATTTGTTAAAGTGTTTGATATACTATACAAGTTTTAGGATTGTCTTCTTAAACCATGTACTTGTATATTTAGATTTACTTCCTCTGGCTGTATTCCCCTTGCCCTGGTTCCCAATCCCAGTGTCTTTGAATTTTGGAAGGTGAAACTGGGTTTTGATAAACACTCATGTCTGGATGTGTATTTTTCGCTTATTGAGAGGGAAATGCTATCTCTGATAGAAAATTCTTAACTCATTTGGATTTGATACTATATTTAGGATACAGACTGTTAGGTTTTGATGAACTACTTGATACTTTTGCACATGTAAGTGTGTAGGTTTTTCATCTTGTTAGACTTGAGTGTCATTGTGCGGACATCCATGAACTGAGTGCTCTTGCCTTTTTTTTTTTTTTTTTGTCTTGCAAATCACTGGAATAAATGTCATGAATTAAAAGCCAGAATCCTAGTTTTATGATCTTTGATGGACCTAAGATTAGAGATCACATGTCAAGTATTTTTAAACTTCATCTACTTGTGAAACTTTATTTCAAATAAAAATTGGTTAAAAAAAGTTGAAAATGGAGATGTGTATGTAAAGCACTAGCAGACTTCTGTCTGGTGTGTTTGTGCAGGTGAGCGATGGAAGAGCATGGACTTGTAGGAGGTTCCATCATGTCTCACAGAGCAGGAAGTAGATCCTCTGCTAACTAGTCCAGTATTCTTCACTAGGTTAGATAAGATCGTGTATGCTATATATATGTTTAAATGGAATTGGAATTATAAGAAACCTTAGTATTAATTCATCCCCCACTTCATGTAAGAAACTCATCTATCTCTGGGCTTTATTTTGGTTCTTATTTGAACTACACATTACTAAGAAGTATTTCTTGTATTTGGGACCACTTCAATTGTAATTTTTTTCTGTGAGCCAAAATCTAGTTCCTTATGTTTTCTACCCATCAATCCTACTTTTGCCTCTGATTCTCTATAAAATATGTTTAGTCCATTATTCACAGATAACCTTTCAACTTTTGGAGGATAATTTGTATGAGACTTGTCTTGTAGGAACTGTCTACTCTCGCTGCCCTTGTAGAGCTCGTTGAGAGCCTGTTTTACTGCCTTGTCTCTGGGTGTGACCAACTTTCCTGGGTGGTAACCACCTAGCTGTGCCACTACATGATTATTACCTGTGTTTATTTGTCCAGAGTCAGTGAGAGAAACAACAGGTCTGCAGAAACCAAAATTCATGTTTACTTTTAAAAATAAATGAATAGGGTCCAGCATGTGGCACAGCAAGTTAAGCTACCACTTGTGATGCCTACATCTTGTATCTGAGTGCTGGCTTTTCTGCTTCTGCTTTACCTCCTGGCTAATGTGCCTGGGAAAGCAGTGGGTTATGGCCTCATTATTTGGAGACTTGCTTGAAGTTCCAGGCTCTGGGCCTTGGTCTGGCCCAGCCCTGGCTTTTGTGGGCGTTTGGGAAGTGAACAAGTGGATGGAAGATATCTTTGTCTCTGCCTCTCCTCCTCTCTCTGTCACACTGCCTTTCAAAAATAAATAAAAAGTCATATTCCTCTTTTTAACGACTGTCTTTATTTGGACACAGTCCCCTCACAAACTCTGGTTTCCCAAGGTAGAGACTGCTTAGTTCTTCCTGATTCCCTTAGTTACCACACACTAGGTTCCAGTTCCTGTTCTCAGGAGCCATTGCGCTATTCTGCTTTTGTACTCCCTCTTCACATACTGTTCACTTATATATGATTTCTCCTGAATTTTTTTAAAAACTCCTTATTTGGCTATTTTTCTATTTTCATATATAATAGATTGTTCTCATAATTCCTCCTATTATCAGTCCTTCCCACTTAAGAGAACTAAATGTAAAAAGTAGAATATATTTGTTACACTGAATGAAATTATAAGCTTAGAATATATTAATTATAGCTAGCAGGGGGAGTTGACATTTTCATGGAAATAGTATCATTTGAAATTGACTAGGAAGTTTGGCCTAGAGATGTGGAAGCCGGTATTCCAGTGCTCAGTGTGTAGTGTGGCACAGACATCCAGAGAACGTGTTTGGAGAGTCGTTTCCTTAGGCCATAGCACAGAGGTTACTGCTGAAGTTTGTGGTCTTTTTCACATGAACTTTTTTCAAGCCAGACCTGTCTACTATAATTAGTACGTTGGTTTTTCTAGATATAGGTGAAACTTTTAAACCTTTTTTTCCAGTTTTTTTTCTTACTGCTTCTATCTTCATTTTCTAGTTTATAAGAATCTTTTATAGTCTTGATTCTGCCAACTGGTGTATTAGCTGTTAATACCAACTTTATGTCACTTTTAAGTGTATGACATTTCAGATAAAAAAAGTAGTAAAACGTTTGCTATTTGAGTTCCTGGACTTTTCTGTGTCTTCACATGTGCTTTCTGGTGCAGCTGCTGATCTGTTAAAGTCAGGACAGTACCTGTTTATTAAGACTTTAGTACTACGTATTGCTAAGATTGTTAGGTCGGATAATTTGAAATTTTCAGTGTGCAACTCTTGCATTACTGAGAAGTGAGTTTCATGTGACTGCACCTCACTGCTTATGTTGGGGTGCAGAACTGCAGTGACACTGGTCACAGCCCTGCTCCTGAGGAGCTGCCTCCTCCTCTTAGTGTGCTGCCTTCCTTGCCTCTATTAGTTTAAAATCCATTCCAGTGCATTCTAGGGATCACTTTGGGGCTTTTTGTGTTTTGTTGAGGAGACTGGTGGTGGTGGAGAATTAAATAACTAAGCAGATGTACTAGGAAGTGAATTTGAAGAGACTTAGAAAAGTATTTGACGTAATGAGTTCAGGAATGCATAAATAACAAATGGCTTTTTATTTTTGTCTTAAATGTCGTATTAATGAATTATTTCTTGTTCATTGTCAAGTAACAGATTTTGAGACATAGTTTTTCCAGTGGAACTGACAGCATTCATACTAGTCCGTAAAAACTGGGCATTCTGAATATTCTTTATCTTTCAGCCATTTATATAGGAATACTCAGTACAGTATTGCTTTCAGGAACAAAATCTGATCTGGTTTAAAGCTTTTTAAGCTCAAGAAGATGAATATTAGTTTATCTACAATAATAAAAATAACATTTTAGTTATAGAATGTATGTTAATGGAGTAAAGTTCAGTTTTGTTATCCAAGTTATTGACAATTTCAAAACTAGTAAATGCTTGCACTGAAAAAAGTTGATTTGTAAAAGGTGACATTTAAAAACATAATTTCTTAAATTTTTTAGTATCATAGACTACTATATAATGAAATAAATTTATAATATTGGATTGTAATTGTTTATTAATAATTTATTTCCAGAACCTACCCTCTGGATCATCACGTGTTGGAGCCATTAAACTTACCTACATTTCAAAGGTAGTCTTTTTACATTGTTTTATATTCATGTATGAATTAAAATCTCTTTGAAAAGGAGAGGGAGTTCAGGTTCCTATCGTGAAAATAGCATCTGATTATTATGCATAGGAAGTTCTTTATACTGGTAAGATGTGTGTGAATTTAATTTACAGCACGTGGCAAGTTGCAGAAGTCAACATGAACTTTACAAAAGTTGGTCCATGATAATTGTACATATTTATTGGGTGCAGTGTGAGAATTCTTAGTTGCAATGTATAGGGATCAAATCAAGCTAATTCACATTTTCCTTTCCTTGACCATTTGTCATTTCTTTGTGTTGGGAACTTTCAAATGCCTCACTTCTAGTTTTCTATAAAGTATATGACAAATGAGCATTTTCTTTTATAATTAGATGTGTGAATAGCAGAAAAGGGATACATCGGTTAAGGATTAGACTCTGTCTTAAGAAATTCTGCAGAAGACTGTTCTAAGTCCGTATTGTGTTCATTTAGACTTTTTCTAACTTCTGAATCCCATTGCCTTTCACATTTTGTTTCTTTGTTTTATTTTGAGGGAAATGTGAACCATCTTCATGTTGAAAGGATGATTTTTCCCTCTTTTTACTTTGTTTCCACCATTTTTTTTCCTGGCATTCTTGCAATGCTATTTTTCTTTTATTTTCCAAAATTTTATATTGATCAGGTAGCTTTTTGCCTTGCTTTATTAGTGCTTTGGAAACTGAGACATTAAGCTGCTAGCTTGTGGGTTTTGTTATGTTTTACATAAAAGCATTGAATATTTGTGATAACTAAGTATACAATGCAGAAAATAATACAATGTTATTTATATGTGTACATGATTGTTTATATCTTGGGGTTGACTGACAAAAGTAGATTACTTCAATAGAATCTACTACAGATGTGCCTCTGTGTAGAAGATGATACTTTCTTTTATGCATAAAATACTTTGTTATTAGTATTATAATTGTGATTATCGTTGAGTCCTTCCCAAAAATTAGTCCCTGAACAGTAAAGATTGCATATTTAAAAGAAAATATTTTCTGTTAAAAGTCAAATTATGTAATTTTACAAACGATAGATATTGTTTAAGTATGTACCTCAAGAGTTTTTATAAATTAAGACATTTTAAAAATGTGTTAGATAGCTTTCAGCTTCAGTTCTCTAGAGAGTATTATTAGGAAGCACATAATTCCATTGTAAAATAAACTTTGGACTCCCATTTTGCTTGATTGCCTATAGTACAAGTAGAACTTTGAACACAGTGATGTGGGATGGCCTGTTTTATTAGAACAAGCAATTGATAGAGCGATTACCCATCTGCCTATATCTGTTCAGTTAAATATTGGTCTTTTTGAAGTTGAGAGTTCTTTCTTGAAAGAAAGCATGTTAACTTAGTGAAACAGGCAAGATGACTAACCAGCCAGCCCCTTTCCCCTGCTCCATTGCTCTCCTTTTAAAATGTAATTATGGGGCCCGCACTCTGGTGTAGCAGGTAAAGCTGCCGCCTGCTGCTGGCATCGCATATGGATTCCTGGCTGCTCCACATCCTACCCAGCTCCCTGCTAATGCACCTGAGAAAGCAGCAGAGGACGGCCCAAGTGCTTGGGACCCTGCTCCCAAGATCCAGAAGAAACTCCTGATTCCTGGCTTTGGACTGGGCCAGCCCCAGCCATTGAGGTCATTTGGGGAGTGAACCAGTGGATGGAAGATTGATCTCTCTCTCTCTCTCTCTCTCTGGCTTCCTCTCTCTTTGTAACTCTTTCAAATAAATAAATAAATCTTTTTTTTTTTTTAAGATTTTATTTATTTATTTGAGAGGTAGAGTTACAAGACAGTGAGAGGAAGAGATAGAAAGGTCTTCCTTTCTCTGGTTCACTCCCCAGATGGCCGGAGCTGTGCCAGTCTGAAGCCAGGAGCTTCTTTCTAGTCTCCCACGCAGGTGCAGGGGCCCAAGCACTTGGGCCATCTTTTATTACTTTCCCAGGCCATAGCAGAGAGCTGGCTTGGAAGTAGAGCAGCCAGGACTAGAACCAGCGCCCATATGGGAGGCCGGCACTGCAGGTCGAGGATTAACCTACTCTGCCACGGCGCTGGCCCTGAAATAAATAAATAAATCTTAGTGAATCATTCTTCTGTGTAGTTCTGTTAGCTTTTGTCTCTCCTATAGCTCACTGGAGTTTGAATTGCAGTTTGGACTCTACTTTAGACATATCATGTTTTTTCTCAGAATTTATTCCTGAAGCAAACTTCAGTGTGATTCAGTTGTGAATTTGTAGCTGAGATCATTCAGGAACCCCAGATATAGAATTCCTTGTGAAGGTACACAGCAGATGCTTCGGTTGTGAGTTCTGTCACTGGACAACAGCATGACAATAACGTGGATGGGCTTTCGAGAACTACTTTAATTATAGGGATGGCAACAACCAAGTTGGCTAGTTGCTTCGCCTTCTAGGATGAGCCATGTGTTGTGTTTAATACAGTGGCCTCATTATCCTAAGGTATTTCCTTTTCAAGAGGAGATTAGATACCATTTTGATTTCCTTCATAGCCTGTGCTTTCTTGATTTTGAATTTTATACACAGTCTTCTCTTTGCCCACCACCATTTTCACTTGCAGTTCACAGCTAACTGAGAAATAGGCAATTTGAGAGAATTTATAGTTTCTGTATTCATTGAGGGCATTGGGGGTTGTGTTAAACTAAAAGTTCTTAATATGTGCCATAAAGCCCAAGGTTTACTTTCATCCTCTTCACACTTCTTTTGAAGAAAGAACAAGTTTGCTTAAAGAAAACATGGAAGTATTGTATTTCTTAAGTTTCTAAAAATTGGGACATAGATCCTGTATTTAATCTGCTATTCTTTATCAGTTGCCTTTGAAGTTTAATATGAGATCTCTATGCTACACGTGTGATTATTAGGAAACTAAATGTGGGAGTTTGTACAGTATTTGAGATTGATTATAGTAGCATAGGAAGGAGTAACTCATCTCTCTTTTTCTTCTTAGGTTAGCGATGCAACTAAGCTAAGGCCAAAGGCTGAGTTCTGTTTTGGTAAGTTGCCAGTTTCTATTACCCCTTTACAATTAGACTGATACATTTAAATCATATTAGAAAACAGTCACAAAAAATTGCACAAAATAAACTTATGACTTAATGAATTACTTTAAGATGAACTCTCTTGTAACTGTTACTCACACGAGGATATAAAACTTTATTCCCTCTACACAAACTGGTTCCAGCCTTCTCCCTTGACCCATATGTAGCTGTTACTGCAGCACATATGCTGGTAACCTCCAGCAAGATTTTAGTTAATTTTTACCTTTTTACCTTATATTATTCCATATGAAATCTATAAGTAATGAAAAGGATTTGGCCTCAGCTTGTGGAAAGTGAGAAATTTACAGTTTGGGGGCAGGAGCAGTTGAAGGTATTGGGTTAACTTGTTTGGCAAATGTTTAGGAGATGCCTGCTGTATGCAGCAGGTGTTATGGGTGCCTCTGGATCATGAAATGAATGAGCATGGCTGTCCTTAAAGGGCTTTAGAAAATTACAGGTGTACTTACACCACTGATAGATAAAGGGGAGTGCAACCTTAGAGAAGCCCAAGGAGTAACATCCAGCTGTTCTTCTTTTAAAGTGTTTATTTATTTTCATTTTATTTTACAGGCAAAGAGAAGGGTTTTCCATTAGCTAGCTCATTCCTCAAAATGTTTATAATAGCCAGGACTGGGCCAGATCAAGGCCAAGAGCCAGGAACTCAATCCAGGTCTCCCATGTGGGTGGCAGGGACCCAAGTACTTGTTGCCATCATATGATGCCTTCCTATGGTGGGCATTAACAGGAAGCTGGATTAAAAGTGGAGCCAGACTCAAACCAGGCACACTGATAGGCTGTGGAGGTGTCCCATTGGTGTCTCAAATGCTGCTTCCTGGACTCAGAATTTCACATTCTTATGGAAGAGCTCAGAAGTAGCGGAGCCATTGTGGGTGCAGAGACACTTTAGTTAGAGGACAGATAGACTCCCAAATCCTTTACCACTGGGGGAAAAGGTGAGAGAAGCACATGGCCGGAGTCAGTGGGGAGGAGTGTGCCATGTGTGCAGTGCACCACTCGATGACACTGGAGGGAGCACAGGGAGGCTAGAGAGTAAAAAAGAGAAAGTTAGGGTGTTGACAGAGCATTTTATTCTTTTGAAAATGGGAGGAAAGAAAGTAGAGATCCTCTGAAAAGAGACGTCGGTGAAAGGGGTTGGTTTGGGTGAGTAGGAGAGTCTTTAAACAGATTGGGTACATGGCTTCTGCTCTCCTAGACTACTGAAGACTTGGATTGGGGAGGTAGAATGGGAGAAAGGAAGGATGGCAAACCGCAGAGGGAAAGGGAGTGAAAGGTCATTAGCAGCAAGTCAATGAGAGAACTTAGTGTTTAGTTTTTTCTTTTTGATTGCATTTAAAATACATGTATTTCACGTACTTTTGACAAATCAGTACAGTTGACTTCCAATCAGTCAGCTTTGGTTTTAACCTGATAATAGTCAACCTAATTCTACCCTAATAGCTAGTATATTTTCAGCACATCTTGAATTGCATTCTAACCACCACAACTAAGCATTCACACAGGATTAAGTCTGTGAATGTGGTTTTGACCCCATGGGATCTGCCTTCCTACCATTTTCCATAAATTTCTTCCTTGTGGCCATTATATTATTATTTGACTTGGAAATTGCCTCCTACATCTCCTGCCATGAGCATCTCAAGCAGATAACCTAATTCTGAATGCTCACCATAGCATGAATTTTAATCTCTGTTCTAGCCCTAGGCCTAGCCTATGAATAAATCCAGAAAGGACTGGAGTAAGTTACATGTGGTAATTAGTTTAAGCTAGAACAAATGATTTGACTCATTATATAATGGTATTCCATAATTGCCAACATGCTTTCAATTTATGTAAATATTATCTTATATTACATCCCTGTTAGGACTATTTGTGTATCAAGTCCACCTCATATCCTCTTTACCATGTTTAGAAAGCCTAATATATCTTTTCACTTTCAGAACCTTTGCGAATCCTAAATTCACATTTTATTCTATCATCTATAATACTGTTTTCTACAAAACCTCAAGCTTACACTTTGAAGAATTAATTATACACATAATATGGCCAAAGCCACAGTTCACTAGGCTAATCCTCTGCCTTGCGGCGCCGGCACACCGGGTTCTAGTCCCGGTCGGGACGCCGGATTCTGTCCCGGTTGCCCCTCTTCCAGGCCAGCTCTCTGCTGTGGCCCGGGAGTGCAGTGGAGGATGGCCCAGGTGCTTGGGCCCTGCACCCCATGGGAGACCAGGATGAGTACCTGGCTCCTGCCATCGGATCAGCGCGGTGCGCCGGCCACGCCAGCCATTGGAGGGTGAACCAATGGCAAAGGAAGACCTTTCTCTCTCTCTCTCGCTGTCCACTCTGCCTGTCAAAAAATTCAAAATTATATGCATAATAGATTTGACATTTATAACTATTTAGAGTAGGTAGTTTTAGTTGAAATCAAAGGTTAAGCTTGGTCATTTATTGGTCTGTGAATAGTTTATTAGTCATCTGCTGCTAGCAGAAGTAAAGATTCACAGAAGGCTCGCCTTTAGAGAAAGGGGCATTGACTTCTAAAATGAAACTACACCTTCCATTTAAAGTGTGACATATCTCCTCTCAGCTTGCCCCAAAACAGAGAACAAGAAGCACTCAAACCATCTTTGTGAAAGTGGCAAACATGTGTAACCTCTGTGTATGAAGATGGAAGGAGAGAGGGTGGAGGAGTGGAGGAACTGAGCAGAGTGGAGTGGTCCGGGAGGAGTGACCGTCTCCGTGGTCTGCCCCATCCCACTTGGATAGGCTTAGTTAGGTCTGGGAGATCCGCTTTCTGGGGCAGCAGTAGTGAGGAGAGCTGAGAATGGGGCTGTGCAATGTCTGTGTGAGAAACAGTCTCTAGTTCCTACCCCCATCTGGCTTAGGCACCACCTTTCCCGTATCCGTGCAGGAAATGGGATATGTGGTGTTTCCAGAAATAGTAGCTGTGAGGCTGCATACTTGGAAATGCTGGTCCCAGAGAAGGGAAGAAATAAGGCACGCAACTGAAAATAGGAAGATTAAATGGACATCTGCACATTGAATTCAGTCCTTTCCTGCATCTGGTCCCAGAACACAGTACCCTAAAGAAGAGCCCCCTTGTGCTGACCGCTGGGCGTTTCCCACATAAGAGCTCCCCGTACCGTGAGACCTGCCCCACAGCAACCCAGGAGAGCCTCCAATCAGTCACTTTAATACCTTGACTAAAATATGAAGATACAGCCCAGGGTTACTTAGGTTTTTGTTTTTAAGATTTGTTTATTTACTTGAAAGTCAATTACACAGAGAAAGAAGGAAAGGAAGAGTCACTGGTTCACTCCCCAAGTGGCCGCAATGGCCAGAGCTGCACCGATCCCAAGCCAGGAGCCAGGAGCTTCTTCCAGGTCTCCCACATGGGTGCAGGGGCCCAAGGACTTGGACCATCTTCTGCTGCTTTCCCAGGCCATAGCAGAGAGCTGGATCAGAAGTGGAGGAGCTGGGACTTGAACCGGTGCCCATATGGGATGCCGGCATTGAAGGGGGTGGCTTTACTCGCTATGCCACAGCGCCAGCCCCGTTACTTAGGATTTGAGGAGATGTACCTATCAAATAAGTAAAGGGAGCCGGCGCTGCAGCTCACTAGGCTAATCCTCTGCCTTGTGGTGCCAGCACACCGGGTTCTAGTCCCGGTCGGGGTGCCGGATTCTGTCCCGGTTGCCCCTCTTCCAGGCCGGCTCTCTGCTGTGGCCAGGGAGTGCAGTGGAGGATGGCCCAAGTGCTTGGGCCCTGCACCCAATGGGAGACCAGGAGAAGCACCTGGCTCCTGGCTTCGGATCAGCCCGGTGCGCCAGCTGTGGCATGCTGGCCGCGGCGGCCATTGGAGGGTGAATCAACGGCAAAGGAAGACCTTTCTTTCTCTCTCTCACTGTCCACTCTGCCTGTCAAAAAAAAAAAAAAAAAAAAAAAAAAAAAGTAAAGGGATATGAGACAATGTGAAAATGCAATGAAAAGAAATCTAAAAGTAGAACAAAGGCAAAGATAGTAATACGAGGGAAATAAGAAAATTAGATACCTTATCAAGGGAAAGTATAGAGAAAGTGAGGAGAAAATTGGCAAAGAAATGTGATTAAGTATCTATAACCACTTGGTTCTTTATCTTTTTTTTTTTTGACAGGCAGAGTGGACAGTGAGAGAGAGAGAGACAGAGAGAAAGGTCTTCCTTTGCCGTTGCTTCACCCTCCAATGGCCGCCACGGCCGGCGCACCGTGCTGATCCGATGGCAGGAGCCAGGTGCCTCTCCTGGTCTCCCATGGGGTGCAGGGCCCAAGCACTTGGGCCATCCTCCACTGCACTCCCGGGCCACAGCAGAGAGCTGGCCTGGAAGAGGGGCAACCGGGACAGAATCCGGCACCCCGACCGGGACTAGAACCTGGTGTGCCGGCACTGCCAGGTGGAGGATTAGCCTAGTGAGCTGCGGTGCCGGCCGGTTCTTTACCATTTGAACCCTAACCTGCTGATTATAGGTTATAAGATGAATTTTGTTTACAGTTAAATGAGTGTGCTTCAAGTTTTATCCACTTGATTTATTCACTATGATGGTAGCCATCTGAAATAAAGAATTCCTCAAATGGGCCGGCGCCTTGGCTCACTAGGCTAATCCTCCACCTTGCGGCGCTGGCACACCAGGTTCTAGTCCTGGTCGGGGCGCCGGATTCTGTCCCGGTTGCCCCTCTTCCAGGCCAGCTCTCTGCTATGGCCCGGGAGTGCAGTGGAGGATGGCCCAGGTGCTTGGGCCCTGCACCCGCATGGGAGACCAGGAGAAGCACTTGGCTCCTGGCTTCGGATCAGCGCAGTGCGCCGGGCGGCCATTGGAGGGTGAACCAACGGCAATGGCAAAGGAAGACCTTTCTCTCTGTCTCTCCCTCTCACTGTCCACTCTGCCTGTCAAAAAAAAAAAAAGAAGAAGTCCTCAATTGAAAGTTAGGAATGGACACAAGAAAGAGAGGACACAAAACTCTGGGGGTGCATGCATTACAATGAAAACGCTTGCTTTAAAACCATGGCAACTTAAAGGTGTGGCTTATCATTAATATTATTATTATCATTGCTTAAATTTTTATTCTTCCTTCCTCTGTCTCCTTTTCCCCGCTATTACTACCTTGCCACTTTTTAGTTGCTTGCTTTAGATTTTCCACAGTACTTCCTTCTTGCCCGTCTCCAGCTGATGGCAGTGGAGAAGAAAATCTCTTCTGGCTCAAGCACTTGCTAATTTCTTTACATCCTACCCTTCAAGGAAGGGGCCTGTGGCATTACCATTTCATGATGAGGAAGATCTCACAGAGTTTAAATTTTATATATACATATACATATACATACATATATATATACATATATATATAAAGCTGTTGCTTGTATGTGCATGAGCTAGTCAGAGCTGACTGATTTTAGGGTCTGACAATTTCTTTGCCTCATCACTATGCTCCTCTTAAGTTCTTTTTTTCTTTTTGAATATTTATTTATTATTTGAAAGTTAGAGGTACACAGAGAGAGAAGGAGAGGCAGAAAGATGGGGTGGGTCTTCCATTTGCTGATTTACTCCCCAGTGGCCGGTGCAACCAGAGCTGTACCAGGAGCCAGGAGCCTCCTCTGGGTCTCTCACGCGGGTGCAGGGTCCCAAGCACTTGGACCATCCTGTTTTCCCAGGCCATAGCGGAGAGCTGGACCAGAAGTGGAGCAGCCGGGACTCAAACCGGTGGGATGCCAGCACTGCAGGTGGCAGCTTTACCCGCTATGCCACAGCTCTGGCTAGCCCTCTTAGGTTCTTAAAGTGTGTGAGCTTTTATTCACAGTATAGAGTATGCTTAAAGCCTTTCTTGGAGTAGGTCTGTCTCCTCTCCGTTAAAAGAAATTCTTAAATATTATTTTAAAATAGATGTTAAACATTTACTTTGTGCTGGATATAGTTTATTAGTACGTGCTTAATTGTTCAAACTCTTCAGATATTGTGAGCAAATGCTCAAAACAATGTTGAGGGGATGAAGCCATTATGAAGAGAGCTCAGCTGAAGCTAGAAAAAGGCTATGAAAGGATGCCCTCTGTTTATTAGAAATGAAAAATAATAATTACTACATATTTACTTATTTTTTTTTTTTTGACAGAGTGGACAGTGAGAGAGAGACAGAGAGAAAGGGGTTCACCCTCCAATGGCCACCACGGCTGGCGTGCTGAGGCCGGCGCACCGCGCTGATCCAATGGCAGGAGCCAGGAGCCAGGTGCTTTTCCTGGTCTCCCATGGGGTGCAGGGCCCAAGCACCTGGGCCATCCTCCACTGCACTCCCTGGCCACAGCAGAGGGCTGGCCTGGAAGAGGGGCAACCGGGACAGAATCTGGGGTGCCGGCGCCGCTAGGCGGAGGATTAGCCTAGTGAGCCGCGGCGCCGGCTAATTACTACATAAATATGTAGTATGACCTCATGGTTACTAACTTAACCTTAATATTCATTTGTGGTATTTATAATTTCTCCAGGATCCAGAAAGATACAAAAGAACAGATTTACAGTGTGTTAAGTTTCTCTGGTTCCCAGACTGGTTGGTTTGTAGCATTTCATAAGCTATGCTTTGACTTGCTTTCTGAGACCCTCATCTCAATTAAAGGAAGCTCTGGTTTAGAGTACCTTGATCTTAGCCCCAATTTCAAAATCTTGTGTGCTTGAGAAATGAGTTTTTTTCCTTGAGGGCTTTCATTTCCTCCTTCTCTTAGTTATATTCAGAAGGGTGCTAGCAAGTTATTTAAAATTTGCTGGAAACTTTTAGATGTTATTCTTATTTAACAATTTTAACAGTGTAGCTATTCCAATGCCTTAGCTCTTGGAATACTTGTTTTTAAAATAAATATGTATAATTATATTTTAAATAGCTTTCATTCTAGAGTTGTTTGTAGTATTTTGTAGACACTATACATACAAATATGTTTTATACAAGTAGATTGTCCCTGTAAGTGTATGTAAAATTAAACTGAAGGAGCTAATATTGTGGCATAGTGGGTAAAGCCGTTGTTTGCAATGCTGACATCCCATGTGAGTGCTGGTTTGTATCCTGGCTGCTCCACTTCTGATCTAGCTCCCTGCTGATGGCCTGGGAAAAAACAGTGGACGATAGCCCAAGTACTTGGGTCCCTGCCACTTACGTGGGAGACTTGGATGAAACTGCTGGCTTCTGGCTTTGGCCTGGCCCACTGCTGGCCATTGTGGACATCTGGGGAGTGAACCAGCAGATGGAAGATCTCTGTCTCCCTCTGTCTCTCCCTCCATCTCTTTAACTGGCTTTCAAATAAATAAATAAATCCTTTTTAAAAATTGAATTTCTATAAGATTCCAAATACATTAACATTTTACATATAAAGAAAATCCATAAAGGCTACAGAAAGAAAGATGTTTATTTTTTATCTTGACCTAAAAAGATTTCCCTAAATATGTGCAATTTAGAGGCATTAAAGGAAAAAGATTGATAGAATACTTGTTTGATCAAATATTCTGAGCAAAGTGAAAAGACAAGTGACAGACAAGAAAAAGTACTTGTAATAAAACAGGATTAATGTAAATGCCTAGATAAGGTAATAAAAAGTAAACTTAGAAGAAATATAAGAAGATAAGCAAAGCTCACAGAGATAAACATACAAGCCTAATTTGTCTCAATAGTCAAAGAAAGTCATATTTTTAAAAAAGATTTATTTATTTGAAAGAGTTAGGGAGAGGAAGCAGGAGGGAGGGAGGGAGACAGAGACAGAGACGCAGAGGTAGCTGCAGTGACTGGGGCTGAGCCAGGCCCAAGCTAAGAGCCAGGATCTGCTTCTGGGTTTCCCACATGACTACAGGGGCCCAAATGTTCAGTGGCTAAAGGAGCACAAAGAAAATGTTGAAAGAACCCAGAAATTAGCAACTGCATGAAGCAGCTACCACTACTAGGGCTAAAGAGCAGAGGGGAAGAGGTAGTATCACCGTAACGCAGGGGTGTGGAGGAGAAGCCCCCGGCACTAGGGATGGGAATCTAAGGAACTCCGCAAGGCTAGTGTAAGGAGCATGGGGCCCTGGAACTGAGCCAGCTGTGTGCTGCTGTTAGGGTAGATCAAGAGCAGAATCAGCAAGGATTCTCTCCTCCTTCCCACTCCCACCTTCCAGCCACCCATCAGACCTTCCGTTGGCAGAATGCGGTCCGTGATCTGTGATCCCTGTTGGCAAGGAAGTTAGGAAATATCGTTTGGAGACTCCTAACCTCGATGTCAGAGATCCATTGGGCTGAAAAGAAGAGCTATATAACTATCACAGCTGATGATAACCAGTACTAGCAAGGGGTAGTAGAGGAAAGAGGACTAAGCCTACATTACTGGTCAAAATATAAATAGGTTCAACTTTTTGAGAAGACAATATCCTTATACTTGTAAAAATTTTAGATGTGAATTCCCTTGGACTTAACCAAGTCTATGTCAAGAAATTTAGTACATAGCAGTGCTCTCACCCTGTATGAAAGAATACATGTGTATGATACTGTATCCAATTTCAAAAATTGGAAATAGCCTGAGTGTCCATAATTTGGAGATTAATGAAATATAATGTGGTCTATTCATTCAATGAAAAACTTGGCCATAAAAGAAAAATTTTCTATATGTTATTGGATGGTAAAAGTCGTATTATATTTTATCCACCCAATTTTGTCAAATCCAAGAGTGTCTGAATGTTGAAACTAGCAAGGTTTTTCAGCTGTTGTAGATACAAATTTAGAGGTAACAAGTTCAATCTTTGTGTGTTTATTTTTTCTCTGAACAGTTATGAATGCAGGAATGAGGAAATACTTCCTACAAGCCAATGATCAGCAGGATCTAGTAGAATGGGTAAATGTGTTGAACAAAGCTATAAAGATTACAGTAAGTGCTTTTTGTTTTTGGAAAATTTTCAATGTTTAGCATTAATCTTTACAGTTTAAAAGTGTACCTGCTGACTCTTCGGTTTGCCAACAGGTTACACACTCCAGCTTTACCTCAGCAAGTACTCAGAGTGTGAACACATTTCTTTGTATTTGGTGACTTTGGGCCCTTTAATCAGCTCATGAATACCTTTTCAACCTATTATGAACCTAATAAGGATGAATATTACTGTAGATTTTATCTACTGCTTATAATAATGTCACTTTTTTTTTAGATTTTATTTTTTATTTATTAGAGAGACAGATCTCCCATCTGCTGGTTCACTTCCCAGAGGCCTGCAATAGCTTGAGTCTGGGCCAAGCTGAAGCCATGGGCCAGGAACTCAATGTCTGCATGTACTATCCTTTGAACTATAACCCCTGCCTCCCAGGGTGTGCATTAGCAGGAAACTGGAGTTGGGGGTGGAGGTGGGACTTAAACCCAGGTACTCTCATACGGGATGTGGGTTCCAAGTGGCAGCTTCACTATTGCATCAGACGCCTGCCTCTGCAATAATGTTTCTAGGGAAAATGCACATGCTATGTGGAGTTCTGCGTGAGGTCGTATTTTTTTCTCCTCAAGCCAGGTAAGGAATAGACCCCGTGATCTTCTAAGCCATGGCTGGAACAGACAGGGCAGGTGTTGGAGATAGGAACAGGCCAGGGGACTGTGAAAGGCTGGGAATTGAATCTGAAGGCCTGTGTCAGAAAGAAGCCCCTCCCATGTGGCCTTTGGGGGTTTGTTTTGGGTTCTAAACTTCTTCCCTCACCTGCTACTTTTCTTTGAATTCCTTCCTTTCCAGGGCTACAGCCTCTTGCTCCAGCCTAGGCTTTTCTTTTGTTTTGTTTTCTGATGGACATCAGTATTCACTGATTATTAATACCATGTGAGGCCTGAAGGTTTTACCTAAATTATCTGGAAAAGACTCTTAGAATGGCTGAGTGCCTTTTACAGGTCTCGCAGCTGCTGAGTGACCAGGCTGGGAGCCCAGTCTGGTCTCTGGGGCTCTGAGCCTGCGCTCTGACGAGCAGTCCTTAGAGTTTCCTGAGCAGAGAGCCCTCGCCCTGCTGTTTTGTTCCTAAAGCACGGAGCAACCTTGTCCGCGCGTTTACTGCTGATGATGAGCAAGCGGGTGGCTTCTGTTCTGGCCTCCTGTTTCCCATACACACGTAGGGTGCACTGTCCAGAGAGAAGCTGAGAGGAGTTCTGGCCGAGCTTTGTGTCAGTTGAAGTGTATCTTTTATGAGGTGCAGTCACTTCTGGACCGTAAAGGACCTGCTGTCCAAGAACAGGCGCCCCTGAAAGTCAGCTATGTTAGTCACTTTTTTTTTTTTTTTTACAGATGGAGTTAGTGAGAGAGAGGGAGACAGAGAGAAAGGTCTTCCATCCGTTGATTACAGCACAGCACAATAAAGAGTTAATAGAACCCAAGCTGTTCTCAGAGTTAAGTCAGGTTTTTGGGCCTGCACCAGAACAGCTTGTTACCACATGACGGAAAACGCCCACACACCGCACCTGATCTGTACGTGAAGCGGAAGTGACTTTAGGTTCGCACCGTTTCAGAAAAGCAGTGTTTTTAACTGATTCAGAAGTATGTATTCTTACAAGGGTTTACCTCTTAATAAATATCCCCTCCTTTGAAAATGTCTTTAGAAAGACACTATCTAGTAACTTTACAGAATGTGTTTATCTTTCACAGTTCGCAGTAATGAGCAGCACTAGTTTCTTTGTGCCTTAAGGGAAAAAGTGGTAAATGGTCTCAAGCTTTTTTATCATTTTGTGGAATTTTGTGTTGCTGTGTGTAATTTATTAATGATAAGAAACAATCTTAAATAACACTAGTAAGCTTTTTAGCATGAAGGAGAAACCAATTAGGGACTGAGTAATGTCTTAAAATGTGTGGACTCAAATAGTCTTTGTGGTTTTTGCAGCCTTATTTTACATGATGAAGTCCTTATGGTTTTTAAGGTAAATCTGTTGGTAAATCATTTTCATGTTTTTGTGAGTCATATTTAGAAAATACAAATATATGTAAGATGGAACTAACCAGTAAAGGGATTATGCCTACATTAAAGTGAATATAGGATTACTTATAGTTATTAAAAATTAACTTTAGATAGATCCACATTTAACTCCTAACAATGACAGAAGTTTTCATTCCTTAATAAGATAGGTTTTGTTAATTATATTCTTTTTTTAAAAAGGTTTATTTTATTTATTTGAAAGGTAGAGTTAGAGGGAGAAGGAGAAAGAGAAAGAGGTCTTTTATCTGCTGATTCACTCCCCAAATGGCTGTCATGGCCAGGGCTGGGCCAGGCCGAAGCCAGGAGCCTGAAGCTTTATCTGGGTCTCTCACATGGGTGCAGGGGCCCAAGCACTTGGGTCATCATCTGCTTTCTCAGGCACATTAGTAGGGAGCTGGATCAGAAGTGGAGCAGCTGGGACTGGAACCCAGTTACCCATATGGGTTGCTGGTGTTGCAGGTGTTGGCTTAACCCATTACCCCATAGTGCCAGCCCCTTGTTAGATTCTTTTAAAAAATCTTGGGGCTGGCACTGAGGTGTAGTGGGTAAAGCCGCTGTCTGCAGTGCCAGCATCCCATATGGGTGCTGATTCGAGTCCTGGCTGCTCCACTTCCCATCCAGCTCTCTGCTATGGCCTGGGAAAGCAGTGGAAGATGGCCCAAGTCCTTGGGCCCCTGCACTGGCGTGGGAGACCTGGAAGAAGCTCCTGGCTCCTGGCTTCGGAATGGCACAGCTCCTGCTGTTGGCAGCCAGTTGGGAAGTGAACCAGCAGATGAAAGACCTCTCTCTCTCTTTCTGCCTCTCCTTCTCTCTCTCTGTAACTCTTGCAAATAAATAAATAAATCTTAAAAAAATCTTACCAGTTATAATTTCATAGGCATTTAACACATTTAAATGTATTTAAGTGTGGCATCTCTAGTTTGTCACATCTTCCTGTGGAAGCTGCTGATGATTTACATGTGGATTCTTGGAAATTTTAGTTTACAAACTAATATATGTGCGATTTACTTCCTATGGAATCATTCCAAACAATATTTTGGTCAGGTATGTGACTTAATCATGCTGAGTACTATGTGATACACAAACAGACTTTTGGGGAGCCAAAATTAGAATTTGAATTTCAAAGTAGAGGTGCTTAGACGGTAGCGGGTAAGGGAATTAGAATTGCTTAACTACTTTCTTATTAGAGTTTCTTCCTACTTTTATGTTTTTTAAAGATTTGTTTATTTCTTTGTTTGAAAGGCAGAATGTCAGAGAGGGAGAAGGAGGGACAGAGAGATTTTTTCCGTCTGTTAGCTCACTCCCCGGATGCCTTCAACAGCCAGGACTGGGCCAGGCTAAAGCAGGGAGTAGGAGTCTAACTATGGACTGTTGCCTTCCAAGGCATTTTAGCAGGAAGCTAGATCAGAAGCAGAGGAGTGGGATGCCAGGGTTGGCAGTTTACCTGCTACAGCACAAGGCTGGCCCCTGGTTCCTTCCCATCTTAATGCAGTCTCCTCCAGTACCATCATCTGGGGCTTTCCTTACTTTTCTTTAAGTCTGTGTCAATGAGGTTTCAACGGCTGCCATTTAAAATTCTTTTCCCATTATTTTATAAAAGAACAGATGCAATGGTAGAGGAATCAACCCTCCAGGGAATATTAGTAACTGGAGGTTGGAAAATGAAATTTCAAAGTATGCTTTTAAATTTTCATTTAGATTGGCCGGCGCTGCTGCTCAATAGGCTAATCCTCCACCTTGCGGCGCTGGCACACCGGGTTCTAGTCCCGGTTGGGGCGCCGGATTCTGTCCTAGTTGCCCCTCTTCCAGGCCAGCTCTCTGCTGTGGCCAGAGAGTGCAGTGGAGGATGGCCCAAGTGCTTGGGCTCTGCACCCGATGGGAGACCAGGATAAGTACCTGGCTCCTACCCTCGGATCAGTGTGGTGCGCCGGCCGCAGCGCGCCGGCCGTGGCGGCCATTGGAGGGTGAACCAACAGCAAAGGAAGACCTTTCTGTCTCTCTCTCTCTCACTGTCCACTCTGCCTGTCAAAAAAAAAAAAAAAAAATCATTTAGATTAATGACAGCATAAATATATATATGGTGGTCTCTGGGTGCTTCTTGATATTAAGTAATATCCAAAGTGATTAGAGCTTATTCCTTTTTTTTTTTTTTAAAGATTTATTTATTTATTTGAAAGAGTTACTCAGAGAGAGAAGGAGAGGCAGAGAGAGAGGGGGAGAGAGGACTTCCATCCGCTGGTTCACTCCCCAGATGGCTGCAAGAGCTGGAGCTGTGCTGACCCGAAGCCAGGAGCTTCTTCTGGGTCTCCCATGTGGGTGCAGGGGCCCAAGGACTTGAGCCATTTTCCATCTTCTGCTGCTTTCCCAGGCCACAGCAGAGAGCTGGATTGGAAGAGGATCAGCTGGGACTTGAACTGGTGCCCATATGGGATGCTAGCGCTTCAGGCCGGGACTTTAACCTGCTGAGCCACAGCGCCGGCTCCAGGGCTTATTCCTAAACAGAAATCTATATTTAAAAAAAAAATGTGTATGTTTTCACCATAGATTTTAATTTAAAAAAAATAACTTATATTTTAATGTAGAAGTTAGTCTCGACATTGTGGCCAAAACTCCAGAAGTTTGACCTTTTTGTTGTTGTTAAGTGACATCTGGAACAGGTAGAAGAGTGAGCTGAATATAGGGCTTTGGTTTTGCCATAATGGTCTGTGTGCCCAGAAGTTAGGCCTTCCACTTCACACTCATGTTATTCAGTCAGCAGGTCAGGCTCTTGGGTCAGAGCAGGGTAGAACCCTCAGAACATAGAACCCCAGGAGTTTATATCTGAACATTTTAGGGTTTTTTTTTTTTTTCAGATTTTTAAAAAATTCATTTATTTGAAAGGCAGAGTTAGAGGGAGAGACAGAGAAGTCTTCCATCCATTGGTTCACTCCCCAGATGGCCCCAGTGGCTCCAAAGCCAGTAGCCAGGAGCTTCTACTGGGTTTCCCACATGGTTGCAGGGGACCAAGCACTTGGGCTACCTTCTGCTACTTTCCCAGGCACATAAGCAGGGAGCTGGATAGCAAGTAGAGCAGCCAGGACTCACCCCGGCACCCATATAGGATGCCTGTGCTGCAGGTGCACCACAGTTCAGCCTCCCACACACCCCCTCCCCGTTTTTTCTTAAAATTTATTTTATTGAAAAGCAGAGTTAGGGAGGAAAAGACAGAGAACTTCCATCTGCTGGTTCCCTCCCCAAATGATGGCAACAGCCAGGCTGGGCCAGGCTAAAACCAGGAGCGTCTTCTCAGTCTCGCATGGATGGCCGGGATCCCAGGGACTTAGGCTGTTTCCACTGCCTTCCCAGGAGTAGTAACAGGGAGGAGCTGGACTGGAGTGGAGCAGTGGGACACGAACCACAGCTCCTGTGGGATGCCGGCCTTGCAGGAGCCTGCTTAACCCCGCTGCACCAGCTCCTAGGTTTTAGTGTTAAGCCCTGGCATTATTAGTGAACAGAACATCAGTCTTTTGCATTTTTGAGAAAGCTGTGACCTACTCATTTTGTCAGTCATCAATGCTGAAATCTGTTTGTTCAAGTGTTCTCTAGTTGTTTTTACCTCTACTTTTCCTACTGTTAAAATTTCCTACTACTAGGAGTACATACAGATGCCTGCTAAGATCACCACAGAAAACCCAGAGTCACAAAAAGGGCCAGAAAGCAAGGGGTGAGGAGGCCGAGTCTTGTCTGCCGGAGAGGAAGCTCTCTGATTCTCAGTAACAGCTGGCAGGCTGGGGGCAGGGGTTCTGAACCTGTTTATCTCAGTGGCTGAATTTACTCTAGCTTTTCATTCAGTCACCTGTAGTTTTAAGAGAGTTTTCTGTATTTACGAGTTTTTTGCTTGTGTGTTTTTCTTGTTCTTTGGGAATAAGATTATTATATTTTAGGTAATTTTATTGTAAAATGCAGTTCTTTTTTCTTTTAAGTTGTTGTTTTTTGTTTTTTTTTTTTTTTTATTTGAAAGGCAGAGTTAGAGAGAGAATCTTCCAACTGCTGATTCACTCCCCAAACGGCTGCAGTGTCCGGAGCTAGGACCATCTGAAGCCAAGAGCCAGGAGCTTCAACCTTATCTCCCACGTGGGTGCAGGACCCCAAGTACTTGGGCCATCTTCTGTTGCTTTCCCAGGTGCATTAGCAGGGAGCTGAATTGGAAGTGAAGCAGCCAGGACACGACAACCAGTGCCCATATGGGATGCTGGTGCTGCAGGTGGCAGTTTTACCCGCTATGCCACAGTGCTAGCCCCTGTAAAGTACAATTCTAAGTTAATAATTGGACATTTTTAAAAAAGATTTATTTATTTGAAAGTCAGAGTTACACAGAGACAAGGAGAGGGGAAGTGGTCTTCCATCCGTTGGTTCACTCCCCAGTTGGCCGCAATGGCCAGAGCTACGCCATTCTGAAGCCAGGAGCCAGGATCTTCTTCTGGTCTCTCATGCAGGTGCAGGGGCTCAGGACTTGGGCCATCTTCCACTGCTTTCGGCCACATCAGAGAGCTGGGTTGGAAGTGGAGCAGCTGGGACTCAAATCAGCGCCCATATGGGATGCCAGCACTGCAGGCGGCGGCTTTACTCACTGTGCCACAGTGCCGGCCCCAATCATTGGACTTTAATCTTGGAATTTTGCTGTATTTAGCATCTGATTTTATTATATGGACAATTGATAAGCAGTTGGCTTATAACAACATAGGCAAGGATTTTTAATGTACTGTAATTTCTGGAAGAAAAATTGAAAAGGCAGTATGAGTTTCAGCATGTTTTTAGGTAATATTAAAAGTTTTTCTTAGGAAATTACCATGTATGGCTGAACTCTCAATTATGGCTTTCATTATGATCACCTCTTCGCAACACATTTCATGTAATATAGGTGAGTGTACAATTTCCCCTCTGGCTTCATATTACTGTAGCGTTGTTGTCTGTTCTCAGTGAGGTAGCTGAGCCACATTTTTGTCTGTCAAAGCAGTAGAAATACAGGGTGCGGTTGGTCAGCATCCGCAGGTTTTCCTCGGTGCCTTGTTCCGGGCTGGCATTAGTTATATTGCCTTTAGAAATCACTCCAGAACGTGCAGCCTCGTAGAAGATTTCAGAGCTACTCAGGACTCAGTTCTCTTCCCTTTCTTCCCATTTCTCACTTCTCTTCTGTTTCTGCAGGTGACTGGCTTGTGTTGTGGATGAGCACCGGGCCTTGGGGGTAGCTTCTGGAGGGAGGGGCGTGGGAAGATTTAGCGGTCCCCTGGGAGACAAGTTATTACTGTCCACAAAGATGCTTATGTGGATTGGGACCTAATGAAGCTCAGAGTTCTCTCATACACACATAGCCCATGTGTGCTCAGTATTTAAAAAAAAAAACCTTTGAGAATCCTTGTCTGTGTGGTATACCGGCTGCGTGGCAAACCTGGTAGGAACAGCATGTTGTAAAGAGAGCATAGGGTTTGTAGCAGTGTTTCTCAAAGTGTGGTTTATGAAACATTACTTCAAGTGTGTTTCTTGTTTTTTGGCTCTGCAGTAAATTTATTGAATCAAAATTTCTGGGTATGGAGCCTGGGAATCTGAAGTTTTTAATAATGTTCCTGGGTAATTGATGCCCTGTCACGAAGCTTGAGAAACCCCACTGTTCTGGCATCACACTCAGTAATACATGGTTAGGGTCTTTCACCATGATTTGGATGGTATCTGTAAACAGACCAGTGTCCTGTTAACAGAAATTAGCCATGTGACAGGAAAATTATTTAAATTAAATATACTTCTTTTTTTTTAAGATTGATTTATTTATTTGAAAGTCAGAGATAAACAGAGAGAGGAGAGGCAGAGAGGGAGGTCTTCCATCCGCTGGTTCACTGTGCAACGGCCAGAGCTGCACTGATCTGAAGCCAGGAGCTAGGAGCTTCTTCCAGGTCTCCCATTCTGGTGCAGGGGCCCAAGGACTTGGGCCATCTTCTACTGCTTTCCCAGGCCATAGCAGAGAGCTGGATGGGAAGTGGAGTAGCTGAATCTTGAACCGGCACCCATATGGGATGCCGGTGCTTCAGGCCAAGGCGTTAACCCACTGCGCCACAGCATCGGCTCCCATACATTTCTATCACTGCTTTTGTGATTGTCAGTAATATTTGTCTTAAAGTTTCTGAAAGGTACCACAAGATCCCCAAATACCTTTCAGGTCACTGGAGATACTAAATCATGTGTAAAATCAAAATTGATGCTGAGTGTATTTTGATACATCTTATTCACAGCCTTAAATTTATAATTCAAGTGCAGACTACATGGCTAACAGTCTATAGACAAAAATAAGTTGAGTATGCTGTTCTCTGATTTTAAACCACATAAGAAAGGGTAAAAGATGTATTAAATGTTCATGATATTCTGTTTCTTTGATTCCACTTCAGTGAAGTGTTGAGACTGTCCTGTTATTACAGTCATTGTTTGTTTATGCTTATGATTTATCCCTGAAGCAGCGAGTGTTGGAGTTCCTTTAAACTCTAAAAATGTTTATGTTGTATGTTAATATTTTTGTTATTTTTAACATTTTTTTATTCATTAAGGATTTAGTTATTTTTTTTTCTACTGATTCTGTCAACATTTATTGAATGCTTCCTGTGTTTGGCAGAGGATTCTGTCTTGAAGGTAGATAGATGAATATGCCACAGTCCCTGTCCTTGGACTTGAAGGATGATGGGTTAGAACGGTGCAAAGAGAAGAAAACAGCAAGAAAAACAAACAAACAAACAAACAAACCTGTAATCCCGTGTTAAGAATGCTAATAAATAGGGACTAGAGAATAGTGGTTAGGTCTGGAAGAGAGTTATACAAACCTGGCTAGAATGAAGGATCATTAGGATCAAAGCCGTGTTGTGTGTCCTTACCTCTCAAATGTGGCACTGCCTCCATGCATAGGTAAGAGAAAGTAATATGAAATAGTACCTGTGTGAGTAAGCACTCAGTGAGTATAAACAGTGTTAAAAAGTTATTACTGTGATGGAAAAACTAATGTGAAGACATGAAGGATTATACACATACACACATACTCTGTAAATAGTATATGTTTATATAAAAATGGACAATTAATTGGAAATTTGATGGTCAGTGCTTGTTGTATGTGTAATAACGCTAGTCACAGCATGATTCAATTTACTTACTGTTCCAGGTACCAAAGCAGTCAGACTCACAGCCTAGTTCTGATAACCCAAGTCGCCAAGGTGAATGTGGGAAGAAGCAAGTGTCTTACAGAACAGATATTGTTGGTGGTGTTCCCATCATTACTCCAACTCAGGTGATAAATTAATTCTTATGTTGTACAAGGATCTTATTATATGTTGATTCTGTATTGTCACACAGTTAAAACAGCTCAACTTTACTTAATTAGCACAATGCTAAATTACTATTAAAAATTAATTTTGTTTCTTAGTGCAAAAGTATATGTTTATTATAAAAAAAGTAGATGTCCCTGATAAATAACAAGTAATACTTTTAATGTTTTCTCTGAGTCTTTTCTTCTGTTACTCACCCCCCCTCAACCCTACTCCGGGAACAGAGATAGGAATTACATATTAGATGGCAAACAGTGGTTTCCACTCGCATCATGAACATTTTCCAAGTCGTCAGAAGTTACTGTATGTAATTTTTGATGATTGCATAGTGGTCCTGCAATGGGTTTACTGTAATTTACAAATCCTCTGTGGACACATAGAATTCTTTTTCCTTTCTCTTTTATAGACAGTTCTCTGATAAATATTTTTGTAGCTTAAACTTTATAGACATTGATGCTCTTTTTAATTTTTTAAATTTGTATTTATTTTATTTGGAAGGCAGAGAGACAGATCTCCCATTCTCTGGTTTACTTCCCAAATGCCTATAAAAGCTGGAGTTGGGCCAGGCTGAAGCCAGGAGCTAGGAACCCAGTGCGGGTCTCCCGTATGGTTGGCAGGAACCCAAGATTTTAGCATCACCTGTGGCCTCCCAGGGTGTAACAGGAAACTGGCTTGGGGACTGGAGGTGAGACTGGAATCTAAGCACTCCAGTATGTATGTGGGCATTCCAAGTCGGGGCTTAACTGCTGTGTCAAATGCCTGCTGCCCCTGATACTTTTTAAAGGCTGAATTTCTAGAAATAAAATTGCTGAGGCAGAGTTTACAAATATGTGTAATTTTTTAAACTTGTTCTTTCTAAAGCCTGGCCTAAATGAGCTAAACAGATTATGAGAATTTTGAATTAATTGTATGTCAGAACTATGAATATACTAAGTGGGATCTCATTTGGACATTATGAAAAATAAAAATGCATAAACAAATTTTGATGAGATTAAAACTTTTATATGAGTTTAGGTTTCTTGTATTGCTATTGAGGGAATGAGTTTGTAGTGCAAATTACATTATTACTATTGGCAAACCAAAAATTCTTAAATAACAATTAATTGATACTGCTACTGCTGGGCATTTTCATGACCTGTATGCCTTTTGAACTTAAAGGCTTTATAAACCCTTTAAATCAAATTGTCTCATACACTGCATTTTTTTAGGTCTTTTGTAAGGAGAAGGGGATTAAGGGAAAGAAGTCTTATGTCATTAACTGATGAATTACTAAATACTTTTCTTTTTGTTCTGCAAATGGTGTATTTCTGAGCAAAATTCTCTACTCTAGAGGGAACTTAATAGTTTTCACTAGTGTTGTATAAAAAATAAAGTAGGGTTGTATATGTTTACTTTATCCAAAAGTAATGATTTTCACCGGAAAAACTTCTGGCTAATGTGTAGCTCAACTGCTAGGCTGCTTTTACCAGAGTTATGACTTGTGTTGATATTGGGGCATGTCTGTTTGTTTATAGTTTTGCCAAAATATTGTAGTAATTTGTACCTATGGACTTTTAATTTTGTATAGAACTAAGCTTTTGTTGCATTTTATTTTTAAAAGACTATTTATTTGAAAGGCAGAGTTATAGAAAGAGAGGGAGAGAGAGAAAGAGATTTTCCATCCATTGGTTCATTTCCCAAATGGTCACAATGGTCAGGGCTGGGACAGGCCGAAACCAGTAGCCAAAGCTTCTAACAGGTCTAACAACTCCCTGTGGAGTTGGCAGGGGCCCAAGTACTTGGGCCATCTTTTATTGCTTCCCAGACCATCAGCAGGGAGTTGGATCGGAAGTGGAGCAGCTGGGACACGAACTGGCACCCATATGGGATGCTGGCATCGCATGCAGCAGCTTAACCCACTACACCACATCGCTGGACCCTGTTGCATTTTAATTTTGATAGAGATTTTTCGGTGTATTCTAGGATTCTGTGGGAGGTGTTATTTTAAAAAAAAGTCCTAAAGAAGTTTATTGCTTTATTATTTTGTAATATAGTTTTAAAAAATCATAAAATAGTATTTACTCATAAAAGCATTTCAATAGCATAATATCAAGAAAATGTTAAATTATTCGCTTAATTAATGTATTCAGTAAACATTGTATATGTAATGAGTTAAGTATTGGGATTACACCATTAATAACATAATTAATGTCGACCCATCTTAATTTAGAGCAGGTTAAAAATTCCTCAATAAATATATGACTCTTAGGACTTAGTCTTTATCTTAAAATGAAGGAGTTCTTGAAAATACACCTTTGAGGGGCCGGCGCTATGGCATAGCAGGTAAAGCTACCACCTGCAGTGCCGGCGTCCCATATGGGCATCAGTTAAGTTCACCCTCCAATGGCCGCCGTGGCCGGCGCACCGTGCTGATCCGATGGCAGGAGCCAGGTGCTTCTCCTGGTCTCCCATGGGGTGCAGGGCCCAAGCACTTGGGCCATCCTCCATTGCACTCCCGGGCCACAGCAGAGAGCTGGCCTGGAAGAGGGGCAACTGGGACAGAATCCGGCGCCCTGACCGGGACTAGAACCCAGTGTGCCGGCGCTGCAAGGCGGAGGATTAGCCTAGTGAGCCACGGCGCCGGCCGGATTATAAGATATTATAAATAACAGGAAACCAGTGCTTTGAAGATCATGCTGACCTGGGTATAGTTAGTTTTTAAAACAGAATTTAAAAAATAAAACATTGGAGTCAGCAATAAAACTACAACACTTTTGGAAAAGAACATAGGAAACATCATCAGGATCTGGGACTAGGCAGATATTTTAGACTTGACATCAAAAGCATAATCCACAAAAGGAAAGACTGATAAATTGAGCTGATCAAAATCAAGAATTTTGTCCTGTGAAAGACTCTATTAAGAGGATGAAAGAAAAGTTAGAGTGAGAAAATATTTGCAAAGCTCATTTCCAACAAATGACTGTGCATAGAACGTCCAGAGAACTCTTGGGGCTGGTGCTGTGGCGTGGCAGGTGAGGCTGCTGCTTGCAGCGCCAACATCTCTCCTGGGCACCGATTCAAGTCCCTGCTGTTCCACTTCCAATCCAGCTCCCTGCTGAAGGCCTGAGAGAAGCCGTAGAGGACAGGCCAAGTGTTTGCTCTCCTGGCTTTGGCCTGACCCGGTGTTGGCCATTGTGGCCACCTGGGGAGTGAACCAGCAAATGGAAGCACGCTCTCTGTCTCTACTTTTTTCTCTGTAACTCTGACTTTCAAATAAATAGATAAATAAATCTAAAAAAATTAAAACATTCCAAAATCCACAGTAAAAACACAGTTAGCAATCTGAGCAAATCTTTGAGCAAATAATGAAACAGATATTTCACCAAAAAATGAAAAATATACAGATTGAACATGAAAAAAATGTTCACTGTCTTAGCCATAAGGAGAGTCAAATCAAGACCACCGTAGATATTGCTGCACAAGTCATCCAAATGTTAAATAATAGAAATTATTGACAGCATAAACGCTACCAAGGGTCAGAAGAAGCCAGTGCTCTCATATATTGCTGGTGGAAGTGTAAAATATTAAATATATCCCTCTGAAAAAGCAGCTTTGCAGGTTTTTTCTTTTTACTAAAAATGATTTGTAATTACTGTATGACCCAGCACTTGCTGCTCCTAGGCATCTGTCCCAGAGAAATGGAGAAATATGTCCACATACAGATCAGTACGTGAGTGTTCGTAGTGGCTTTATTCCTAATAACCAAAGGTTGAAAACAGCTTAAATGTCTGTGTAACAGGTAAGTGGTTAAACAATATGTAGAACATCCATACCATGGAATGTGGCAGTAAAGGTGAGTGAACTGTTGACAGAAAGAATAACCTGATGAATCTCCAGAGAATTATCTTGAGTGAAAAACAGCCAATCTCAAAAGATTACCCTCTGGATGCTTTTACTTATATTCTCAAAATGTCAAAATTATAGACATGGAGAACAAAGTAGTGTTGCCAGAGACTTAGGGGTAGGATCTCTAAAGATCTAAAGGGGTAGTGCAAGGGAGCCTTGCCATGTCTTAGTTGTGGCTGTGGCAACACAGCTCTATTTGTACACGGAATAAAACTGCGTTGAACTGCGTAAACACAAAGATGAGTGCCTGTGATGTAACATGGGAGAAATCTGAATAAGGGCTGTGGGATGTGCCACTGTTGGTTTCTGGGTATTGGGAATGCATTCTTGCTTGGTTCCTTTTGGGGGAGACTAGTTGAAGGTTACATAATACCCCTTACATGCGTTTAGGAGGCAACTTCCTGTGAATCTGTACAGTCACTGCAAAATGAAAGTTCCCTTCATCCCCAAAAAGCAAAAAAACTGGACTTTTATGGAATAAGAGAAGTAGAAATATGTGTTTTAATCAGTGGTGGGAAAATTATGAGTAAGTATATCACATTAATTGGAAAGTTTGCACTCAAAGTCTGTTACTAACTGCACTAAGATCCTAAGGTTTTTTTCTAGGAGAACAACATGAAATGAAAGTATGATTTGAAGCTAAACAAGCAAGAAAAGAATTTATTTTGTTTCATTTTAGAAAGAAGAAGTAAACGAATGTGGTGAAAGTATTGAGAGAAATAATTTGAAACGGTCACAAAGCCATCTTCCTTCCTTTACTCCTAAGCCACCTCCAGATAGTGCAGTTATCAAAGCTGGATACTGTGTAAAACAAGGAGCAGTGGTGAGTAGCTTATAGAATATGTGAAACAATGCAAACTGAGAATGCACTAGCAGACTCTCAAATTAACATGCAAACTGTTTGTTTCATTTTGTCAAAGACCCAGAGTGAGAGACCAGTATGCTGGGAAGGGCCTCGGGTAGGACAGACATTATTCTAGGGTTACAGCCCAGTGCCCTTTGTTTCTGTGGTCTGCTGTGGACTGAGTAAATTAATGCCAAGGACCACTGACTGTCAGTTGAATGGACTTTTTTTTTTTTTTTTTTTTGACAGGCAGAGTGGACAGTGAGAGAGAGAGACAGAGAGAAAGGTCTTCCTTTGCCGTTGGTTCACCCTCCAATGGCCGCCGCGGCCAGCACACCACGCTGATCCGATGGCAGGAGCCAGGAGCCAGGTGCTTTTCCTGGTCTCCCATGGGGTGCAGGGCCCAAGCACCTGGGCCATCCTCCACTGCACTCCCTGGCCACAGCAGAGGGCTGGCCTGGAAGAGGGGCAACCGGGACAGAATCCGGCGCCCCGACCGGGACTAGAACCCGGTGTGCCGGCGCCGCTAGGCGGAGGATTAGCCTAGTGAGCCGCAGCGCCGGCTTGAATGGACTTTCTTAAGAGTTTACAATTATTCCAGAAACTTTTCCTGTTGATTTTCCGACCCCCTGAGAGGGAAAGAACTCTAGTGGAGAGGTGGCAGGTCCAGGGCTGGGAGGAGTGAGGTGTGAAAAAAGTCCTTAATTGATGGCATTAATTAATTAATACGGCATTGGGCTCACCTCAGCCGAAAGCTATGTGACCTTGGGCTGCTTAACCTCTCTTGTTTTCTTTTTTAAGGAAAATTGTTTTATAAAGCCTCCCAGGGATCTTTTTTTTTTTTTTTTTTTAATGTAAATAAGAGAGATGTAGCCCTTCACAGGGCACAGTCAGCTCCACAGCGGGGAGTTTTGCAGGCGCCAAGCACTTACCTAGAATTTAAGAAAAGAAACAGTGTCTGAATACAGGAGCACTTGACACTCTACAGCGGTTCTGCTGCCTTCTCACTACTTCCTGGTGACTCCAGCTCCCTCAGATCTGCCTGTCTGACCTTTTGCCCAGAGAGATGATTCAGGCCAGGCCTGGGGTTTCTCTCTAGAATATCTGCAGTAGTGATGCCGTTCTTCCTGGGCTCACACCCAGTTGTATGTTCATTAGGGCTTTTAAGGAAAGAATCCTTTCTTTTTTGCTCTTAAATCCAAAAAAATCAATCACTTAGAGATATTTTAGTGCTTCCACAAAAACTGTATTTCTATGAGAAAAAATATTTGTACAAAACAGATTGACTTTAATATTTTTTGCTTCATTACTGTGAATAAAGGTACTTGTGGAAGGATTCATGCATTTTACAGATGGAGAAACTTGATGTGGTTTAATAACATTTCCTGTGCTTACTCTTTACTTTGTGAGGGTGGAGGAAGGAAGGGGAAGTGTTTCTTTTTTTTTTTTTTTTTAACTTGCAGAGCATTAAAAATGTGAAATCATATGATAAAATCATACACTAAAAGCTGAAAACCAACGTCCAAACGTTGAATTAGGAGTTCAGGGCCTGGGTAGCCAAAGGGAGACAAAGTTTCATTTATCTCCGCACCAAGTGGGGAGGGTAGTGTGCAGGGTTTTCAGTGCTTGGCATTTCTGATTGTGGGTTCGTATCAGAATAATTAAGTGGTGATTGACATTGGACATCCTTAGAAACAGAAGTGTTATGTCTGTGTTCATTTCTGGTAGATGAAAAACTGGAAGAGAAGATACTTTCAGTTGGATGAAAACACAATAGGCTACTTCAAATCTGAACTGGTATGTCACTGTTATGTTTGAAAATGTTTGAATTGTGTTACGTTGTTTTCATGCTGCTAGAGTAGTTCTCATTTGTACCTGCAGTTCAGTTGATCTTGTGATGGTCTTGGTTAATAGTATTTTCCTTAAGTAAAAAGACCGTATATTCAAAGAAGCATTCCACCTTGAGCAATCTGGAAGTGTCAGAGCCGCCTCATCTGTAGAATGCCTCTCCACGAGGCATCACTGGGGGAGCAGGTGCACAGAATTCAGTCCCTAAAGGCCAAAAGTTAGCCCTTTGTGCTTCTGCCTCTTCCTTGCCTCTTGGCATTTTCTTTTCTGACTCAGATACCTTTGAATTGCCTCACATGAGGTGTGCTTGTCCTTTCTGAAGGTGCAGACTGAGCAGCTTTCTTACATGAAGTACTGTTGGGTGCCACGAGCCTTGTGGTGGATTGTAGATAGTGAGGATGAGTTCTGCACCTCTCCTTACTGTATGGGACCTTTGAGAGGACCTTTGTTTGAAGGCACCAGAATAGCATTGACTGATAGAACTTTGTACACGGATGGAAGTGTTCCATATTTGTGTGGTCCAGTGCCTCTGGCTACATGTGGCAACTGAGCATTGAAAATATAGCTAGGACTACTGAGGAACTATTTCATTTTAAAACCAAAAATGATTTCTTTTCCACTAATTTAGGTTTATGGAGTTCCACATCACTAGGAGAGTGGGGCACTAAGAATAGGAAGGGGATAGTTTGAGAGTCACTTCAAGGGTCAGTTCTTCTGGGAAGCTTCTGAGGGGAGGAGGAGGAGAGAACCGGAGTTACCTGGTGTGGCCATCAGTGCCTGTGCAGGATGAGGATGTGGTCTTCTCAGGGTGCCAGCCCAGTATGGAGTTTGGGACAGGAATGTGTTCACAGGGGAAGAGGGTGGTGGCAGAAATGAGAGAGTGGTTCCATATGTACTTACTGATAAAACAAGGGAAATATTAAGAATAGTGAAAGCCAAATTTCTTGTTGTCAAAGGGGTGACAGATAAGCAAAAGGAAGTTTTTAAGATTGTATTAATTTGAGAGGCTGATTTACAGAGAGAGAGACAGAGACAAAGGGAGAGAGGTCTTCTATCTGCTGGTTAACTCTCCAAATGGCTGCAACGGCTGGAGCTGGGCTGATTCGAAGCCAGGAGCCAGGAGCTTCTTCCGGGTCTCCCACGTAAGTGAGGAGTCCAAGCATGTGGGCCATCTTGCACTGCTTTTCCAGGCCATTAGCAGAGAGCTGGATCAGAAGTGGAGCAGCCGGGACACAAACTGGAGTCCATATGGGATGCATATACAGACGGGGGTTAACCTACTCCAAGCTCCTGCTACCAAGCTCGTACTTCTGATTCCATTTTTTCTACTAGATTCTGAAATGCTCTGGTATTGATGTAACTTTAAACAATACAGATAGATGTAGGAATAAATATATAATATAGGCATGTGTTGACAAATATGTATATGATATTTTCCCTAGTTCTTTCCCCTGAAAAAAAATCACCATTTTGCACTGAAAGAGACCTAGGCTGTGTGGAGAAATGGCGCATTCCAGATGTAGGATGAGAACTAAATGTAAGAGTGAGCAGGACCGTCTGTGACAGAAAGCATGGAAGTGCTCACAGAGAGAAGGGGACATGAAAAAAACACCCCAAAAACCACTGGAAATTCACCACTTCGGCCATTCTTTTTGAATGCTTGACTTAGTATAGAGTTAATTGTATGTGTATAAAGTTAATTGAAAATAGATCTTAGTAAAAAATCAGAATGGGAATAGGAGAGGGAGGAGAAAGCAGGGTGGGTGTGTGGGTGGGAGTGTGGGTATAGTGGGAAGAATCACTATGTTCCTAAAGTTGTATTTATGAAATGCATGAAGTTTGTATTCCTTAAATAAAAGGTTTCTGGGGGCCGGCAACGTGGCTCACTTGGTTAATGCTCTGCCTGAGGTGCCGGCATCCCATATGGGCGCTGGGTTCTAGTCCCAGTTGTTCCTCTTCCAGTCCAGCTCTCTGCTGTATCCCGGGAGGGCAGCAGAGGATGGCCCAAGTGCTTGGGCCCTGCACCCACATGGGAGGCCGGGAGGAAGCACCTGGCTCCTGGCTTTGGATCGGCGCAGCACCGGCCATAGCGGCCGTCTGGGGAGTGAACCAGCGGAAGGAAGACCTTCCTCTCTGTCTCTCTGTCACCGTCTATAACTCTACCTGTCCAAAAAAAAAAAAGGTTTCTGGGGGGAAAAATCCTGTAGTTCCCAGCTCTCCATCCCCATGCTTTAAAAATAAATCCAAATTTCCTAGCCTGAAAAAAAAAATATTTATTTGAAATGCAGAGTTTAGAGAGTGAGAGGAGACACACATGCACACGCGTGCGCATACACACACACACACACACACACACACGCCTACCTTCCATCGGCTGGTTAACTCCCCAAGTGGCTACAACGGCTGGAGCTGAGTGGTCTGAAGCCAGGAGCTGAGAACTTCTATTGGGTCTCCCACATAAGTGCAGGGGCCCAAGGACTTGGGCTGTCTTCTGCTGCTGTTTTCCTGGGCACATTTGCAGGGAGTGGGATTGGAAGTGGAGTAGCCAGGACTCAAACCAGTAAGCTGCCACACCATAGCGCCAGTCCCCACGAAAGCCACTTTGAAAACATTCCCACTCACCACATTTGGGTGTATGAGGATACCAGAATAATGATGTCACCAAAGAGAAGTCCACTGAGTAAAACAGGAATCCAGGAACCTGATGGAGTGGTGTTATGTATCTATGTATGATGAAGAACTCATATTACATAGTTTTAAAATAACTGCCTACAAAATAGATACTAAGTTAACAAGGAGAAGGGTTACTTATAGTGAAGAAGCTGGCAGATATCAGTTTAAGGAGGTGGTCAGATAACTAAAAAGAACATCAGTGATGAGATAAATTGAAATCAGCTGGGGCCGGCACTGTGGCGTAGCAGGTTAAGCTTCGGCCTGCAGTACCAGCATCCCATATGGGTGCCAGTTCGAGTCCTGGCTGTTCCACTTCTGATCCAGCTCTCTGCTGTGGCCTGGGAAAGCAGTGGAAGATGGCCCAAGTCTTTGGGCCCCTGCACCCATGTGGGAGACCCAGAAGAAGCTCCTGGCTCCTGGCTTTGAATCGGCATGGCTCTGGCCATTGTGGCCATTCGGGGAGTAAACCAGCAGAAGGAAGACCTCTCTTTCTGTGTGGTTCTGACTTTGAAATAAATAAATCTTTTTAAAAAACAACAAAGAAATCTAGGCTGGTGCCATGGCTCACTTGGCTAATCCTCCGCCTGCGGTGCCGACACCCTGGGTTCTAGTCCTGGTTTGGGCACCGGGTTCTAGTCCTGGTTGCTCCTCTTCCAGTCCAGCTCTCTGCTGTGGCCCGGGAGTGCAATGGAGGATGGCCCAAGTGCTTGGGTCCCTGCACCTGCATGGGAGACTGGGAGGAAGCTCCGGCTCCTGGCTTCGGATCGGCGCAGCACCGGCTGTAGCAGCCATTAGGGGAGTGAACCAACAGAAGGAAGACCTTTCTCTCTGTCTCTCTCTGTCTATAGCTCTCTCTGTCTGTCTCTCTCTCTCACTATCTTAAAACAACAACAACAACCAAAGAAATCAGCTACCAACTGGCAGGATAGCGTGAGAGAGCACAGCAGCTTATCAATGACAGTCCTGCCTAAGATACAGAGTCTGCAGGGAAGCATTAGACACACTCAAGAAGTGAGGGACATTATGCAAAATAACTGCCTTGTAGTCTTCATTATGAAAGTCAGAGAAAGAATGAGGAACTGTTCCAAACCAAAGGGTGAAAAAGAAATGTGTGATAAGCAGAAGTAGTCGTGATTCTGGACTCAGTCCCTTCGCTGCAATGAAAGGCATTTTAAGGAGTTTCCTGATTCTGATGGTTGAACTGTGGTTGTGTAAGAGCATATTCTTTAGGAAATAGGTACTCATATATGTATTCATAGGGAGTGTGGTGCAGGTCAGCGACTCACTCTGCAGTGGTCCGGAAAATCAGTTCTTGTGCTATTTTTTCAACCTTGTATAAAATTGTGATTGTTTGAAAGTTTAAAAAAGGTGAGAGAAAATTGAGGGGAAAATATCTAGCAGGAAAATGAACAAAAGACATTAATAGAAAATTCATGTTAAAGGAAATGAAAATGGACTCTTAGATAAGATATTCAACATCGTTCATTATTGGAGAAATGCAGATTAAAGCTGATTAGGGATGCCTGCATCCTGCATCAGAGTATCAGTGTGAGCCCTGGCACTCTGCTTCCAACCCAGCTTCCTGCTAATAAGCCTGGGAGGCAGCAGATGATGGCTCGAGTGCTTGGGTCCCTGCCACCCAAGTGGGACACCCAGATGCAGTTCTGGGTTCTATACCTGGTGCCAGTTTCTGATTCCAGCTTCCAGCTACTGCAGAGCCTGAGAGACACTGGTGAGGAGAGCTCAGGTGGTTGGATTTCTGGCATCCACATGGAGACCTGGATTGAGTCCCAGGCTTCCAGGTTTGGCCCCCCAGCCTTGTATGCATTTGGGAGTGACTCAACGAATGGAATGTCTCTCTCTTGTCAAGTAAAGCGTAATCATACAGAGAAGTAGCAGATGTGCTGGCACTTAGTGAAAGTTCAGTTGAGAGTTAAAATAATGTGTTAATTAAGAGTACATTTGAACATAACATTAGAGGTTAAAATTGTGTGTTAGTCTAAGAGTAATATTTCTAAAATAACGTTAGAAGTTGCTGCTCTGATGTTGTGACATCCCAGAAGAGGAGGTAGTGTGCTGGGTACACACGTGTCCATGCGGAGTGTAATGGTGAATGCCCTTGATAAGCTACACTGTCTCTAAGACCAGAAACTGTGTCAGACAACAGTGGAAATAGGCTGCAGGATTTGAGCTGTTCTGATGCTGGGTAGTTTAAGAAGGTAAACTGATGTCTTAGATGTACTTCAAGAAGGAATCACGAATTTCACATTGATCTCCAAATAAGACAGTTAGTCCTTACAAGGATTTTAAGAATGAATGTCCTGTTTGTTTGTTTGTTGCCAGGAAAAGGAACCTCTCCGTGTAATACCACTTAAAGAGGTTCATAAAGTCCAGGAATGTAAGCAAAGGTAAGGAGCAGCTACGACTTGATGCCTGGCACAGCTTACTCGTGGAGAGTACTGCTGTGGTTTCATTAGTCTGCTCTCAAATTGTGTTTCTCTGTACTGATTCTAGTATTAAACTTTTTTGTAGTTGGAATATGCTAGACATTTCAAAACCCCTGAGATATTCTGTCACTTGAACTTACTTGAAAAGTAGGAAACAGAATCTTCTTGTTCCTTCATTTGAAAACTAAAAATTTATAAACAGCCTATTTATGGCAGGGAAAAAATTTAATGTGAACAACTTACACCACCAGATTTGATAAATGTGTTATTTATTTTAGTGTTTCAAAGATGCTACAGAATAGAGCTACAAGAAAATGCTTGAGCTGTGCCACTGTTTCTTTAAGGAAACTAATTTCACAGTTAAAAACTTTGAGCTTTAAAATTGTTTTATGAACCATTTGTAAAGCTATAATGCACAAAAAAATTAGTACAAACAAAATAAATGGGAAAGATAATTTGATTTTGTTAAATTAGTGTCTTATCTATTACTTTTTATTGGCACATTTGTGTAGCAAATAAACAAAAGAAAGAAAAACTGTCAACTAACTGTTATTTATGTATAACTGGATACTTTTTTTTTCCTAACAGTGACATAATGATGAGGGACAACCTCTTTGAAATTGTAACAACATCAAGAACCTTCTATGTACAGGTAAAATACTTATTTGGAAATTATAGATCCTGCCAAACCGATACTTTTAGAGGTGAAACAAGCACACATAAGTTTGTTGCCTTTAAGGTTAAGGAAATATGACAACTGTAACTTACCAATGTAATAAAAGGATATTGTAGGAATTGTGTTGAGAATTATTGGTAAGTTATTTGTTCAGCAAATAGGGAAATTCTTTGTTATGAATTAGTGAAATAAAGTCAGGGAAGTGTTTTAACTTATGTTTAAATTGTGTACCTTCAAATTGGATTGTTGCACATGCTTTGGAATTTTAATTTTAGTTTTATTTCCTTTTTATTGGTGTGAAAGGGGGCACAGATACCTATAACAGAACTAGGCAATAAATCTGACTAATAGTAAGCATTCTGTATTTGAGTTTAAAATTTTGCTTACTCTATTGAATTATTCAAGTATAAAGTTTTTTAAAAGAATATCTGGAGGGCGGGTATTTGGCCTTGCAGTTGATGCCTGAATCCATGTAGGAGCCTGGGTTGGACACCGGGCTACACCTCCCTGCGAGTGCAGGCCCTAGGAGGCAGCCATGATGGCTCAGTTAACTGGCTTCTGGCTGCCAATGTGGGAGACCTGCAGTGACTTCCCAGCTCTGGCATTTGAGCAGTGAACCGGTGGATGGGAGCATTCTCTCTCTCTGCCTCTCAGAAAAAATAAGGACAATAAAAACAAAAACACTTTGGTTTTGTTTTATAAGTTATATCTGCTAATTGCAGAAAATTTAGAAAATTCAGAGAGAGATTAAGAAAGTAGTGGTTTTGGCCGGCGCCGTGGCTCACTAGGCTAATCCTTGGGTTCTAGTCTCGGTCGGGGCGCCGGATTCTGTCCCGGTTGCCCCTCTTCCAGGCAGCTCTCTGCTGTGGCCAGAGAGTGCAGTGGAGGATGGCCCAAGTCCTTGGGCCCTGCTCCCCATGGGAGACCAGGATAAGTACCTGGCTCCTGCCATTGGATCAGCGTGGTGTGCCAGCCGCAGCACGCGGGCTGTGGCGGCCATTGGAGGGTGAACCAACGGCAAAGGAAGACCTTTCTCTCTGTTTCTCTCTCTCATTGTCCACTCTGCCTGTCAAAAAAAAAAAAAAAAAAAAAAAAAAAGTAGTGGTTTATAAAAATCACACTCCCTAATTCAGGCAGCCATTCTTGTTTTGTTATTTATTAAGTCGTATCAAGTGTGGAGTCATACAGAGGGTGTTGTGTTGTTCTATCCTGTTTGTGTCAGGCATTGTGCTGTTTTCCTCCCATGTCATTAGTTAGAGCTGCCCTATATTACATTGTATAGATATTCCACAAGTGAATGGTTTATTGTTGTATTATTAAACTCATTTACATTGTTTTTATACATTTTATGTGTTAAATAATGTGGTGAGGAACATAAATTCACCCAAATTTCTTATTTCTTTAAGATAAATTTCCAGATTAAGATGAACTGTCAGAGTGTGAACCTTTCACTTTATCAAATTGATTTCTAGAATTGTGTCCCTATTAGCAATGAATAAAAGTATATTCTACTTTTGCCTTTGAGTCTTTCCTTTTAAAAAGCCTTTGTTAGTATTACTGATTCAAAAATATTACTCTGTGTCTTTAAAATGTTTAAACTTTTAGAGACTAGAATTTGCTTAGACTTCTGTTTAGAAGTAGATCCTAGATTTACTTGTAGAAATAAGAGATTCTAGAATTGTAGACTCTAGCAGTCAGGGGTAGCGTCTCTTACCTATTTGGGACCTTGTTGCATGAGATTAATTTCATAGTGAGGTTTGGAAAGGAGGGCAGGCAGAGATCTTCACACGCTGCTTCACTCCCCGGATGCCTTCAGCAGGTCAGGCGGAAGCCCCGAACTCAGTCCAGGTCTCCCTGTGGTGGCAGGGACTCAGGAACTTGAACCGTGACCGCTGCTCCCCAGGACCTGTGTTAGCTGGAGGCTGGGATCTGAAGTGGGCTCAGGACTTGAACCCAAGAGCACTTGGACGCAGGTGTCCAGGAGGCATCTTAACCGCTGTGCCAATCACCTGTCCCATAGTAGGATTTTAAATTCACTGTGGAAGCTTGGCCCAATCAAGGAGTATGATACTTTGGACCATGACTACTAATGCTTCTTTAGGAATTGAGTGTACTGATAGAAATGATTTCTAGAAAAAGAGTATGTAAAATGATGTAAAACAATTTTTAATTACACAATTATATAAATATTGTTGGCAGATTGGCAGTTGATAGAGGGAATAAGAAGGACCTTGTTTTGACTTCTTCCTCTCCTTGTTTTCTCTCTGGAAGTTTTCATTATTGACATTTTTGTTGTTTCCGATTTAAGTGCCTAACTTACGTCGCATTACAGTAACTTACCCAGCAAGACTTGGTTTTCAAAAGTGATTTCTAGGGACAGGCATTTGGCACAGTGATTAAATTGCCATTTGAAACCTCCACATTCCGTATTGGAGTGCCTGGTTCAAGTCCTGCCGCTGCTTCTGATCCAGCTTCCTGCTAACGCACACCAGGGGAAGTCCTTGGGTGCCCACCCACATCTGAGGCTGTTGGCTTCAGCCTGGCCCAGCCTGGGGTGTTGCAGGTATCTGGGGAGTGAGCCAGCAAATGAAAGATCTCTCTCTCTCTGTCACTTTCTACCTTTCAAATAAAATGAAAATCAATTTAAAAAATTTTCAAGGTAATTTCTAAAATACTTTGGAAATCATCGCATTAGAATGATTTTGTTGCTGACAGTCTAAGTTACCAAGATAAATGCATGGGATTTGTAGACGTGGATGTGATGTTGAAGAAAAATGGAGTGACTGAGTCCCTTCCCCCTCAGGCCGACAGCCCCGAGGAGATGCACAGCTGGATTAAGGCAGTCTCTGGCGCCATCGTGGCCCAGCGGGGGCCCGGCAGATCGGCAGCTGCTGTATGTTTCCTGCTCTCTGGAGCAGTCCTCCCTTGGGCCTTCCCACCCTGTCAAGTTGTTTCCCTTCCTCTTCCCCAATCCTTCCGATTTCTTTCTTTTTTGAGATTTATTTGCATGTTGACGTTCATACCAATTGGACTTGCAAAAAATAATGCATTTCTAATTTAATGCTTCCTTGTAGTGTTATGTATATATAACTTTCTGTGCACTGTATTGTGTTAAATGCACAAACAGGGCAACTGAAGAATAAACATTTCCTTGCTTTGTTTTAGGAATTCTTACTTATTGGCAGATCTAGAGTTGCTATACTCTGTCAGATTCTTAGTATGGTCTGTGGCCTAATCATGGAAGGTACTTTTCAGTTGTAGCATTACAGTTTCGTGAACTTTTCAATTTCCTCTTTAACTCCTGCAGTTTCAGTTAAGGGCATTTTCACTTAATAGTGCCGTAAGATCCCTGAGCAAGCCGGAGCCTTGGCAGTGTTGTGCTCCTAGTCAGCGTTTCCACTGTGCTGTCATTTGAAAGCCTGCTTCTGAAAACTGCCTTCTCTGTGATAGTTTGATAGTAAAATTGAAACAGCTAAGTAGTAAGAAAAAAAATCAGTTTATTTCTTATGCTCATGTACAATCATAGGAATTAGATTTGGCTTTGTAATACTTTGGGCACTGGTTTCTGATCTGAAACTATAAATTCTCAGAAGTGAAAAATTGTAAAATATCTTAAAATGTCATGCACAGAAAGTCTGGTAGGTGACGTGATAGCCTCTTACGTCCAGATTCGTTATGAACGCTAGATATTCTGCATTTCTAATATTTTTCCTGGTATCAGTGTTGTGGTAATACCGTCTTTTAATAGTTTCCTGGTAGTGATACCTATAGTCCTGTAAATAGAAATCCATTTTCTCCTTTCTTTAGTCAGGAATACCTAAGAAGTCACTTTCATAGATGATAGTTTTGTAACTGCCTGTGTTCTATGTGACTTTTTCAGCAGTCAAGTATGAGACACTCTGCAAAAACAGTGTCTGTTGGCAAGAGGGAAAGTTGGAGAAGGGCGTTTGTGTTTTGTGCTTTGTGGTGGGGGCACACTGGACTATCGAGCTGTGACTATCAGCAGACCTTTCTCTTTCCTCCTCTCCCCAGTATAGGTTAACTCTAATCTTAGCTTTGCACTGTGTTCCAGATGCGGCAGGCCAGAAGGCTGTCGAACCCTTGTATACAGAGGTATACATCAAGAGCTGGTGAATGCAGCACGTATGTGGGCCTCACGCAAACGTGCCTTCCTAGTAGAGGGCCCGGACTCACTCACTACTTACAACTGATCGTAGAAAGTTGAGTTAACCAAACTGCCTTTTGCAGTTATCATAACTGATTTTGTCAACACTAACATAAACTATTTCACTAGTCATCAGGTTGGATATGCGTATTAAAAAAAGATAATTAAAAAAATACAACTTTACTAATAGAGACATTAAGCTAGCTTCTAAAAATTAATTTACTGAGTTGCTGCAGGAGTTTTGATTTCTATATTTTATGTATTTTCAGCTTTTTACTATTACAACGCTTGAAATGTTCCTTTGTTTAATTGTATATGCAAACTCATGCATGCATATGCATTAGATAAGCTGTGCATTACTGTAAGTTGCATGGCATTTTAAACCTGTTAAAATTTAGCCATTTGATAGTATTTTGGTAATTTGTAGCACTTTGTTTTCAGAGGCACTGTTATCATGAATATACACAGTAAACTAGGAACTACATAGCAAAGCATTTAGAATGGTCATATTTAAGGATACCTTCAGATTTGATCTAGTTAATGCACATTAAAATTAATACAGCTGATAATTACTTCACAATTTTTAAAAAGATTAAATATGTACCCTTCATTAGCTTTAAAATATTAAGCCATATGAGTATATGATGTATTCAAAACTAAATAAATGAAATTAAATAAAAATTGATCTATGCTATTATTGGTTGCCATAAAATTCAAGGAAGTAAAACCTAAGTTTTGTCAAGACAGCTAGACAAAATAACATTTGAAAATATTAATTCCTGCTTATTAAAGAAATCTATGGCCTTTGATTTTTGTATTTTGCACTTTTTAAATCTCAGGATACGTGGGATAGTTCCTAGTGTTGATTTATATCACACTCTGAATAAAACCATAAAGCCCGCAGGCCCCTTGTTGAAAGCCGTTCACTGTGTTGCAGTTGGAACACTGTATCCCAGCTCAGCCTGGCTGAGTCCTCCACGTGTCATAGGCTGCCGAATGTGGCTTTGGTGACGGAACTGGTTTCCTAGTGGACATGGTTGTTGGCTGTCGTTGCTTTAAACTCACCCCTAAAACGCATTGCTTTGGGAAAGAACTCGCACGTTTGTGCTGCATGGCTCATGCTTCTGCTGCGTGTGCGTGTGCGTGCGTGTGTGTGTCTGGGTGTTTTTCAGAGTTCAGTCTCACACCGAGTGACTGCCCTGAGCTCCCGGTGACCGTGTCTGACCGCCACTCCTCTTTGCAGGAGCATCCCGCCTGTGCTTCAGAGGCCAAGCACGCTCTCCGCCCTGCCGGGGCCGCCGCCGCCTCACATTCCACAGCCTCTCGCAGCAACTCTCTGGTCTCAAGCTTTGCCATGGAGAAGCGAGGATTTTACGAATCTCTTGCCAAGGTCAAGTCAGGGAACTTCAAGGTCCAGGCTGTCTCTCCAAGAGAACCAGCTTCCAAAGTAACTGAGCGGGCCCTGCTAAAACCTCAGAGTACAAACGGCCCTCAGGAGGGAGAGTGTGACCCAGTGGACCTGGAGGACGCGAGCCTCCCGGTCAGTGACGTGTGAGGCGCGAGCACTGGAGCCGGCCGCCGCCACCTCCCCTCGGCTTCCTTCCCTGAGGCGTCCAGCCGGAGATGACGGGGTGCATGTGTTACACTGCCTCTGCGGTGTGCTCGGCAAGCTGGTGAACCAAGAATCTAGCGAGTGGCCAAATGAAACAGAATTTGACAAAGAAAGAAAACCTAAGTGTTCCAGTGTCAGCTATCTGAAGCTTTGTGTGTTCTCATGTGGTTGGTAAAAACGTGTTTGTGCTAGTCTTGTTTTCATAGTGATCTTGAGTTTAATGTTTAACGACTTAAAATGTTAAAAATGCTTATTAATTTTATTTGAGTCATTTTAAAAAATGCTACTATGACTTCCCATTAAAGGTCAATATTTGCAAATTCTTATTGGTTAATATTATCAAATGATGATACCTAGACTCATGACGCTGTGGTGCTGTCTGATTTATTCTGCAATGTCGACTATTTTGAAATTATAACCATTTTTGATGCCATGGATCTCAAGGTGATTGGTGAGTTTTGTGTAGAGGAATTTATCAGACCATTGGTGAAGGTTATGAGTTACACCGGGTTAGAAAAAAAGGGAAAACTAGAATTCAAGCAATTATAGGATGGACATTTGTTTGAAAAAGCTTTGTCAGAGTGGCAGCAGCCAGCGCTTTTTTTCAGTGAAAATTATTTGGTAGAAAATTTGGGGGAGATCTGATTTTCTTATCAAAGTTCTGTAAATAGTTCTTATTTCTATATTTGGATCAGTAAAAGACCTCAAGTTTATATGTAAAGACATGACTGCCCTTAGGAATTATTGTGGCCTCTACTTTTTGTCTCTGCTAACCTATATTCAAGTGCCTGTGTTTTTTCAACTTGTTTAGGAATGTTTTGAGATTAATATGCTTAATAGCCCTACATAATTGATTCTAAACGTTGGGGTAAAATTAATTTCCATTAGTATAGTTCAGTGTGTTAAATAAGGTTGCATTTTATGTTAGAGATACCAGAAAGCTGGTATTTTACTACCTGTGCAATATGTATGTTTTAAAAAGCAAATTTGAGTATACATTTAGTCATGAGGATATCATAAATATAAGCACCTCTCCTAAAAATCCCTATGGTTTCAGGTGTTGAATTGTAGACCAGTTTGAGCAAATACTGTGTTTGGTTCAAACATTTGCTTTAAGAAAACAGTCTTGAATTACACATGCTGCTATTTTTATATTTTTACCTTTTGACTGTACTGTTTTGTCTTGAATTCATACATATCAGTTTCTCCTTTTCATTTTCTAAGATGACTTGTCACAGAGAGAGAGAGGTTTCCTCCTGCATTAGTGGGGTTCAGAGATTAAGATATATTATACTAGAAGTGCATGGTTTCAGTTTCATAATCTGAATGCGTAAGAAGGCACCACTCAACTTTTTTATTCATAAGCTAATATTTTTAAAGTTATATTTAGATTTTTTCTCTTATGCGGCTACATTTGAAAATGATAGAATGAACAGATTTTAAGTAGTCACCACTTTTCTGTTGATACATACATTATATTGGCTTCTTTGAAAGCTCCTTTTCCATGAACACACGGAAGAAACTTGGCAGACACTGTACTATTCGAGGCCTGATACTGTTCTCTTTGGTACAGCTTCCACACTGCATGTTCATTTTAGCATATTTTGGTATTGGTAACTTGATATATTTCATGGTAGCAAAATATGAACTCTATTTTGGGCCTTTTTATAAAAATACCTGTATGCAGTAGAATAGGAAGTGTTCTGTGATTGTCAGGGTCTCCTAATATTTATCTCAATTCTTTTATAAGTCTATGAAAATTATTTAATTATTTTAAAACTTACACTTTTCTTGTAAATATTTCACATCTGAAATGTCAAAAAAAATCACTTTGAATACTTTAATATTTGCTGCAGTTTTTTTCTGTGTATATAACATGTCTCCTTCTGGAAGGGGGGTGTGTGCCTCCCGTGGTTAATGTTGCGTCTGTCATCTTTATGTTAAACTGTTCAACACTGTAATGACTTGAGAATAAACTGCTCAGAATTTGTTCTGCCTCCTCATTTCTTTTGGTTCAGCTGATGTGTGAACAAGTAAATAAAGCTAGGATAGATAGTGTGGTCAAATGACTTTAAGAACAGAGTAAATTATTTGGTAACTTTTGAAAGAATAATGAAACTTCACATCTGTGAATTCTTTTTTTTTTTTTTTTTTAATGATTTATTTATTTATTTGAAAGGAGGCAGAGAGAGAGAGGTTTTCCATCCGATGGTTCACTCCCCAGTTGGCCACAAAGGCCAGAACTGCGCCTCTTCCTGGTCTCCCACACGGGTGCAGGGACCCAAGGACTTGGGCCACCTTCCACTACTTTCCCAGGCCACAGCAGAGAGCTGGATCGGAGGTGGAGCAGCCGGGACTAGAACCAGTGCCCACATGGGATGCTGGCACTGCAGGCAGCAGCTTCACTCTGCCATAGTGCCGGCCCCACATTTGTGAATTCTTAAGGCTAGTTTCATGTGAAAATTGTGTAAGAAAAGATGATCTGGGGAAAAAGAAACTCGCTAGTTTGCTTCATTAGGAACTTTTTGTCAAAAGCAGAATTAAGCATGTTGGTTCCAGATCTTCGTGTGAGTTACCTGGACTGCTGACCAGGTTCGGCTGTCGGTTAGACTGACGGTGACCTAACAGGACGTTTTGATCTCCAGCTGGGCCGTTGAAGTGCACTCGTGGACAGCTCGATGTCCCGTGTGCTGCTTGCTCACCTTCCCTCCGCACATGCTCTGTGTGCGGGTGGCGCTGCGTGGCAGAGCTCAGCTCAGTGCTCAGCCAGGTGAAGCTCAAGTACTACTTGAATGGACGCAGACAGGGCGTTACCGCACAGTGAGTGACCTGGATACTTTTTACAGAAGTGGACTGCCCTAGCTACTTGGAAATAGAAATCATTCTTTTAGAAATTCTTTCTACAAAGAAAACTTCAGTCACTTGAGGTGTCTCCTTTTGCTCCTTGGCTCCAGTCTGCTCTCAAACCCTCATTACACCCTGTCCTCAAAGGCAGCCAAGAATGAGCGAGCATATGTGTCTCGCCTGCTCCTGACCCACTGGGAGCAGGCGTGAACACCAAAGCTGAGCGGCGGCGTTGGGATCAGGGAGGCCAAGCTCCTGCAGTCAGTGCGTGCTGAGGGAACTGGAGACCTGGCAGCAGGAGGGTCTGCATTGACCCATGGGACTAATGAGCCGCAGAGCCACAGCTGTTGCCTTCTCACTGTTGACAGCATCGTCCGGATCTCTACTCTGGGCTTGAGTAGACGAGCCCAGCTGAGTACACTGGGGTGCTTCCGGATGTCCGTCTGGGAGTCCCTCCCTCTCCTACACGTGGTCATTGCTCTGCTCTTTCTCAGTTTCTTCTGAGACCACTTTTCTGTGATGTGCTGTCTTCACCTTGGCATCAGCCTCTTGCTCAGTCAGGTGGCACTGAGAGCCCACCTCCGGAGCTGCCACTGCAACACTCAGCACGTGTGTTCTAGTCACTGCTGCTTCGATGCGCTAGCATGCGTGTTGAGTTTGGTTCTCTTGTGAGGTTGTACATGGTTTTTATTGCTCCAAGGATGCTTTCTGTATGACGCTCATACCTGTTTCAAAACCCTTTGAAAAGACACCGTCTGCAGTGGTAGTGTTGGGGAAGCGCTCCAGCGATTTCCAGGACCTTATCTGGATGTAACAAGGGAGTTTCAATTTTTTTACCACGCCCTGGCGGTTTATTTTTCTGAAAGATTTTTCTCATCAGAAGTGCCGTCGTGGGGCTGGCGCCATGGCTCACTTGGCTAATCCTCCACCTGTGGCGCCGGCATCCCATTTGGGTGCCAGGTTCTAGTCCCGGTTGCTCCTCTTCCAGTCCAGCTCTCTGCTGTGGCCCGGGAAGGCAGTGGAGGATGGCCCAAGTGCTTGGGCCCTGCACCCACATGGGAGACCAGGAGGAAGCACCTGGCTCCTGGCTTCGGATCAGCGTAGCTCCGGCCGTGGCGGCCATTTGGGGAGTGAACCAACGGAAGGAAGACCTTTCTCTCTGTCTCTCTGTCTAATTCTGTAAAAAATAGAAGAAGAAGTGCTGTCGCTTATGTAACCTGTATTTCCTTGTTCCCATCAGCCACGAGAGCCGGCTTCAGCCTGGGTAACAGTTTCTGGAACATTGGCTGGGAGTCTCCCTTCCTGAAAGTGACACATTGCACCCTGGGTCCTCCCTCCTGCCACCGTGTGTGTCTGCTACTGCTCTGCTGTAGCTACCTTACAGATAGGTAGCCGTGTTTTGTGGCTGTATTATTTTTACTTAAAACTTACTCATGGGCACATTTTACCCATTTTTAAAAAGACTTACTTAATGCAGAGAACGTAAATGCCGCCTTTCGCATGAAAAGTCCCCTTCCGCCTGTTTGTCACTGGTGTGTGAAACTGAGTCCCGGGGCTGCAGTCAGCGTCTGCTGCCTGCCGTGTGTGGCTTTGGGACTATGTCTACGTTTTATATTGAACTTCACTTTCTACATTTTGTAAAATGATGAGATTGGATAAAGGTTATCTGTCTTTTTAAGATTTATTTTATGTGGAAGGCAGAGTTAGAGAAGAAGAGATAGATCTTCCATCCACTGGTCCACTCCCCAAATGGCCATAACAGCCCAGGGTTGACCAGGCCAAAGCCAGAAGTGTCTTCCAGGTCTCCCATGCAGGTGCAGGGGTCCAAGCACTTGGGCCATCCTCCACTGCTTCCCCAGGCCATAGCAGAGAGCTGGACTGGAAGAGGAGCAGCTGGGACTAGAACCGGCGCCCATATGGGATGCCAGCACCGGCCCCTCGGCTTCCCTTTTAGTTCTGGCTGTAGGTCAAGAATTTTCCATAAGTGGTGCCTATCTTTGATCAGAGGTTCTGTTAACCACATTAGTGAGGCAGGAATTATTTGTATCAGAAATGGAAAGATCTGACTGCTAAATACCAAGTCTGGTATAACCAGCTAATACCAGACCTTGCTGGTGTTTGCAGGGTCTAACACTCCATAGAGGACATAGAGAAACGCTCACTTACTTAGGTTTCTATTTCCATCCGTTATCTTACGGTATGAGACTCCAAGATGGTTTATTTGTAATACACTGTTCTTGAATGAGTTGTGAAAATCGTATGCTTTTCAAACGTTATGTAAAATTTGTGTTGAAAATATTGATTAATTGAAGTTAGTATTTACAATTTTGATTGATGAAATTCTAGTAGTTATGGTATATTTAAAAGTGAATGCTGCCTTACTGTGGAATAGTCATGTGGTAACAGCGCCACCTTTTGGTCACCTCATTACTAAATTTAAAGTACAAATTTAGAGTCGTAAAATATGTAATAATTTCAAAATTATATTTTATACAAAATATTTACAAATTATTTTCAAATTATGCTTTTGTTTTGGGATAATTGTAAATGCACATTAGTTGTACTAAATAATGGAACTCTGTACTCAGTTTTTTTTTCAATGATAACATCTTGAAAAAACTAAGGCAGTATTACAACCAGCATTTAAAAATTTTTTTAAAGATTTGTTTTATGTATTTGAAAGACATAGTGACAGAGAGAGAAGGATATATAGATAAATGTTATACCCACCGCTTCACTGCCCAAATGGCCATGATAGCCAGGGCTGGGCCAGGCGGAAGCCAGGAGCCAAAGCTTCATCAGGGTCTCCCACATGGGTGGCAGGGGCCGAGGACTTGGGCCATCTTCTGCTGTTTTCCCAGGTGCATTAGCAGGAAGCTGTATCCGAAGTGGAGCAGTTGTGACTTGAACCAATGCACTGATACGGGGTGCTGGTGTTCCAAGCAGTGACTTAACCAGGATTTTTTTTTTTATAAGTTTTTATTTACTTGAAAGGCAGAGAGAGAGACCCGGGGCCCTGCTGCCTGCCTGCCTCTGAGGCCTGGCAGTCCACGGCTTCCGAGGCCACCCATCAGCACAGGCCCTGCCACCCCACAAAGTGCAGAGGTTCAGGCAGTGGCAGGCAGGACCCAGAGACTGGGTCAGGTCTGGGGAATGCAGGCCCTGGGGAGGCCCCTTGATCCCTTCCCAAATGGTCACCCGTGGAATGAGGAGTGGAATGTGAGCCAGGTTTTGGCTGGAGCCCCCAGCGGGCTCACAAGACATGGCTTCTCCCGTGGCCCTTTGAGGAGACAGTCGGCTCTGAGGGACACGCCGGCTCTGGCCAGGGAAGCCCATCGCCAGAGGCCTTGCCTTCCCTGCAGGGGTGCTGGGTTAGGGAGAGGCGGGCCAGAGCTGGGCCTCAGGGCTCCGTGGAGCCTTCCTCATCACTCCACTCTCCATCTTCCTGTTCCTCCTGCAAGCAGGCCAGGGATAGAACATTCTGGATCAGTCTGTTGGGAAGCTAACATCGGGGCTGCTCAGGCTGACCAGTCATCTTGGGCCTCTGAGGTTTGGGGAGACGAGTGGGCATCTGGAGACACAGGCCAGGCCTAGGGGCCTGCTGGAACATCCCACTGGCTTTGCTGAAAGGACAGCAGACTCGGTTTGCTCTTCTGTGGAGACCGTGTGACCTGTAGGGTGGCCCTCTCTGTCCTGGCTCTTGGGTGCAGTAAGTGCTGGCCCATGACTACACTCGGGGCTGTGACACTCAACAGAGGGCTCAGTCTCCACCCTCTGGGGTCCAGGACAACCGAAGACCCTGGCCTGACCTCCCAACCAGGGTCTAAAGTCACAGGGCAGGCGTGGCTGTTTGTGGTGGGATATTCCCCACCCCCGCCCGCCCGCCTCCTTGCTGCCAGGGATGCCCCGGAACCGGTCCTGAGACCCAGCCCAGAACAGTTTTCTGAAGCTTCTTAGAGCAGAACAGGTGGTGATGGAGGAGGTGGAAGGCCTTGGAGCAGGACTGCCAGCGCTGGGCACGCTCACCCCTGAGGGAGAACTGGGCAGCGGGGAGGCGGGAGCCCACCTCGGGGAGGGGGAGACAGGAGGCGCTTGAAACCATCTGGGAGACCTGAAGTTGCCCGAGCACTGTGTCCTTGTCCAG